ACTGAGGATATTTTTTTTTTTAATTCCGCGTAGACGGAGTCGTGGGCGACAGTTAGTAAATTAATATAATGTTTACTGGCGTTTTGGGGAAACTTTGAATACGGAAATGAATCTTTTCTTAAACCATTTTATTTCCTTGATCGCGTGTTCGAACGAAGAGGTTTTAAACATCGTTCCTTGTATGTACTGCAAAGAATTGGAACAAGTTGCCAGCGTAAGATTTTTTCTTAGTAAAAACATTTACTAAGCTAGCGCACACCATCATTGGAACGCATCGTCGCTTAAAAAAGCGGTAAAGCTCTAGCTTATTCATAAATGAAATGTTGCCACGCTATAATTAACAGTGGGATAAGTAGGTATTCGGTGGCCACTTGAATCTTTTTTCTCTTGCCTACGACTGTTTACTGACCTACTTTTATTCAATCATACCAATCATTTCGTGCCTAAACTTACTTCAGATAAATTAATCTAACATTTTATAAAAATTAAAACGCACGCAAACACACGAACTTCTTTCAATGAAAACGTCTTGTTACCAATGACATTGGTATGTAGGTTAACATAGGATAATCTAATGAAGCCATTGAATGCTCAAGAAAAGTCTATCTCGATATGATTAAGACGTTATGCACAAGTTTTATTTACACTCCCGCGCGTTCTATTTTTATTGGATTCAACCTTGAAAATAAGTTAATCCGCCCTTGTAGACATAGTGACAACTTAACTAGAAAAATATAAGAAGCATAAGAAACTTTAATTTGAATTATTATACGAAGTTACACACACTTCTTAAGTTATACAAGTAAGATTAACTTATTTAAACTTTCGTGGGAAATTATAATATTACTAATTACAAACAACTTTGCCGTCACCAGACAACTATACATGAGTTAAGGCTTTCTTGATTAGATTTATGTAAGAAAATATTTAACTCTAGACTCTATTTCTAGTTCTCTATTTGTCAGTATTTAAATTCAGAGCTACAATTGAATTTACTTTCTAATAAAAAATGCAACTTAATTTAAAAACGAAATTTCACAACAAAGCACTTTTAATAATCCATTTTAATATTATAAACAACAACTCACTAATTCTGAAACTAAGATATAAGTACGGTTTATTCCCTTGAGGATGCAAACATGAATATTCTGTGCTTTTGCAATGACGTCACGGAATAGAATATAGAAAGATATTTTAAAAGTACACTTTACTATGTGTGTAAACGTCATTTTACATTGTTTTTATTATTTAATTTAACCAAGGCAAGTTTAAATCGTATATTTATAGTAAATTCGAATTAAAACGCGTAGTATATAGTCTTGACTTAATTGAGTAAAACAATTAAATGTAAATTAAATCATTTCAAATTCTTTCATTGCATTTCAATCCAAAGATTTGTTAACACCGAACTCGTGTAAAATTAAATGAGCAAATGTTATCCTAAGCTTTGCGGAGTACGCAAACGTTTATTATATTTGCTGAAGCTTAAAGCTTTCGGATGTTGGTACGGAATAATTGCGGTCAGCTTTTTTCTACAAATAAAAATGTTTAACGAACCATTAATTTCGGAGAAATTGGCGTACGAAACGAAACGTGTTTAATGATAAATAATATTTAATTACCATGTTAATCCAATAAATGATCAAATTTAAATATTAAGGCAATGTAAAACCAAATAGAAACTAATCATATACAACCGTAACATACTTTGATACGTTTCTTGTAAACAATTTTGTAAGTAAAATATTAAGATAAATTTGAAGAAATAATACCATGAAAGAAAACATTAGCGGTGTATGTTTGTTAATAGCTGACCGACGCCCCATTTTCAGGGTTACTTAGATCGCGGAAACACTAAATGACCCAAAACATCAAGAACAAATGAAACTTAACACGCAACACAATATAAATATAAGCAATATCAAGTTTCTGACCAAAAGAAACATTGCTTAGGATTTAGCAAGTCACTATCTTAGGTATAATCTGTTTACTTCGTAGGTCGTACTATTTAATACTAAGAAACTATATAAGCCTTGAATTTATCTTAAACCTTAACTTAACCTGATTAAATACTACTTGTCGCTGGTGACTCCATTCGCGCGGAAATAAAGAAAAAAAAAGACAGTCGGACGTAGGGAAACAAAGTGATCCTATAAGGATTCCGTTTTTTCCTATGAGGTACGGAACCCTAAAAATAATCAATAACCTATGTGTTCTTCCAGACTATGTTATACATCTATGTTAACTTTCAGCGAGATTCATGCAGCCGTTATGGAAATATATTTTAATAAACATCCAAAAATTCGCTTTATATTATTAATAATTAGTAAGATTAGTAAGCTAGTATAGATCAATTTCCTTCGTTCCTTGTTTCAATATCTTCTCAAAAACAAAATCGTACTAGTATTATCATCCCAACAAACCGTATGAACATTTCATATCATGCAAATCAAGAAGAACGCATAGTTAGGTATTCCGGTCATGTTTGAATATAGGGACGGAGCATTTGAGTCGTTGCTTACATCGCCAAAATGGCGCCCGGGTTTCCCAATCGATTGGTTGTTCTGATTTCGTTCTAAGAAAGGTTTAATATTCCCTTAATAATTAAAATATAATATAATATATCGTAATGAAAGTGCGAGTATGTTTTGTACACTAATATAGAAAAAATATTAAATAATATGAATTATAATGATAAATCGTAAATAGCTAAGATATATTAAAAAGTGTAGGTTTGTACTGATTGCATATTTCATAGAAGAAATATATTTTTACATTCAACAGACGCATGGCAATTGGTTCAAATGCAAATAAATTTTCCAAATTTGAAAGCTCTTTAGAAACTAAATAGTCTATCCCGGATTGAATGAGACTAGTTTTATCTTTTTTACCGCAATATTTTATAACCGATGTTTTAAATTCCTTTTCATTAAGAAGGCAATGCAAACAACGGAACTTTTGAAAAAATATTTCATTATGCGGACCGCTTCGTGTCTTGAATGAAATGCTAATTTATTAATTAAATTTCAAACAGCCGAAGTAGTTTTATGATTCCCATTTTCTTTGAAATCTCTAATTTAAAATGTATTTTGCAAAATTAATGCCAATTCAATGGCTTTATATTTTGATAATGCTGTTGAAGGATGGCGTAACAGCTCGCTAGTTCAACTATTATACATGTGACATTGCGGTCTTATAAAAGTCAAGCACACAAAAGACGTTCATTAGCTATACAATTAAGGTAATTGATCCAATTAATTCTACACATAGTTATCGTTCTATTATACTAATATTATAAATGCGAATGTTTAGATGGATGTTTGTTTGAAGATACTAGACCGGCTGAACAAATCGTGATGAAATTTAGCATACATATAGAATATATTCTGGAAAAACACATAGGCTACTTATGAAGTTATTTTTATATTCCGCGCAGACAAAGTCGCGGGTGACAGCTAGTACTTCATATAAAACAAAGTTAATACTTTTGTATAATGTATAATGTCTATGAATTTTGCTTGATATTCGTTATAAAATAATTTTGATGTTGTGAAAACTGTCACGTCATAGAAGTTATTTGCCAAGCTTCAAAACTTGTTCCTTTTGGGCTTTACGACAGACGTAAAAACAAAGTTTGATGCGCCGCTGAGAGCGTGACAAGCAATGTTAACGTGACAGAAGACTCTAATGCCTATTAACTATGGACTTTAATTTACTTTCTGCCTCACTCAGATTCACGTAGTCCCTCAGTGTAAAATTTACAAACTAACTCTAAATACAAAAAAACTCTAAATGCCGCGTCTATTTGCCATTAAACTTCGCTTCTGTTTCAACACCAAGTAGTAGTTAAAAGCAAATCGTCTCACGCCATTAAAGTTAAAAAAATCAAAAGCTAGCTAACATTATCAAGTACGTAAATAGATACACGGCGTTATTATGAAAGTTTGCATGCGTTTTTATTTCTGTATTTCATTTAATGAACTAAAACATAACATTAACATTGTATCTAGGTACTTTATATCGTTTTTCGAACGTTCCGTTGTACGTAAGATTAACTCGCACGAGAGTTTACTCAAAGCAATATATTTTAACTGTTCACGCGAAAACACGGCTACAATTCAGCCTTTCTTGTTACAACAAGTTTTATGTTGCAGGAATATATCAAGGTAAAGGAAAATGTTGAGAAAAAATGTTTCCATTTACTTGTAAACATTTCTCGTACACGATCTAGACGTAGACGTAGATTCTATTTATATTGCAAATGAGTACTAAAGATTAGAGGTTACATACGCATTATAAAATATCTTTGAAAAAATAATAACCATAAACACGTGACTTTGTCTATTCAACCGATCTTAAATACGTAATTATAAAACACAATACATTTCGAAAAGTTATAATTGTTACAAAGTTTTCATTGTTTGAGAAGCTCAAGAGTATAATGGAAACAGACTCAATCACATTTCTAACCTCCTTTGTATAAATTATTGTTGTTAAAAATGAGAACAATTTCCCAAAGGTTTCAAACAAAACCGACATTAGCATAATCGTCTTAGGATGGCAGCGGACCGCCCTTTTATTTCCTCGCATAAACATTTTTGTTTAATAACAGAAGCGCCGGATATTTTATGAACTCAATCTCTCGCGTAGCAAAAAAGAAAAAACAAAATATTTTCATATTTTACATTGTGAAGTATTCTTGCTAAGTTAGCCATTAAAAGTTTGTGATTTACGTAGCTACATTTTGGAATAACATTTAATTTTTATTATATTTTAGTATGTTTGCGTGACTCATTTTAACTTAGGTCTAACTTAGGTGGTCATTCCAAATGTCTAAGTATATAGTTTAAGCGAGTTGCCAAGAATAAAAATTTAAACAGATTTTTTTTACTAATACATGATAATCAAGAACAAAATAAACGTACAATCGTTGTAATCGATTCAATAATTATTAGTCACTAGCAGTCGCCCGCGTTATAATGTGTTAACTTACCTTACAGAAGTTCGCTGCGACATGTGGCGGCGAATGCTGAGGTCGTGGACGAGTTAATCATCTCTCCACATGCCGACAACACTCTGCAGTCAGCAGAAAGGTAACGTACAAACACAATTTTAAATTATTCCAATTTATAATATTATATAGAACTTGAGATTGAATCAATAACAAAGTCTTATCTTGTTACATATTTAATCGTGTTGTGAAAGTTAATAAATATCTCTCAACTAACTTTAAACAAACTATTTTCAACGAGAATTATTATTTAATCTCTTATATATATTAAACTTGAATATAAAAAATACAAATAAGGCGTATGTTATTTTGCTGTTTCATAAAATTCAATTACCTAGACACGAGGCAAGTTTCCATTCAATTGTTAAAGTTGATAAAGTGGTTCGAACCGGCGAGGTCCCTAGGGGCGGCCGCATGCGAATTGACCCTTACCTACCCGTCAGTCTAACACAGGTTTATATATGAGATTATATCAACTCTAACGGAAATTGTATTCTAAAACTTACAAACTTGAAATATTATTTATCTTTACATAGAAATTTAACAGCCGCTAATAATAAAACAGATAAAAATAAAAAAGATACACATCTATTTACCATCTCTTAAGTATGTTCGATATCGAGAAGATAAAATCGCACAGCCCTAGTTTATTTATTGACGTCATAACAATTACATTGGTTAGAAAAAACTAGGACATGTTTTCAGTTGAACAGCAAAATGTATCATGTTCATAGCTGTCCTTGCCTCACGCCATACATTCGTGTATTACTCTGTTATACCACTAAAACAGAAGTTTTTTAAAAATTACCTATGCATTCTAACTCGACATTGACTATAACACGCTAAACTTGTGTTGTTATAAAATTGTTTATAATTCGTAATTTTAATTACAGTTTTTCTGCTAATAAGATTGTACAATTAAATGTTTTACTTACACAAACTATTTTATCTTTACTAATATATCGTTACACAGATTGTTCAAAACCAGCATTATGCACATTAACTTTAAAAAATTATGATATTTTGTTTATTTTATATTACGTCACCAGGTGAGGGTACGTGATTTTTCACAAGATTGAATCAGTCTCAATGTTGCCACTTCAATAAATTATAAATAAAATAAAGCGTGGGGGAAAATGTGCATTGCCGTTTAAAAAAATAGTATGTATACTTTATATTCGCAGGTCAACGTTCTAAATATAAATGTTTTTGAACTTGACGCAAAACAAAAGGCAATCACAACTTTTACGAAATACATTAATAACTGTCATTTCCCTTTATAAAGCTATGTCTCTAAGCAGAACCTTTTTCCCGGGATCTGAAGGGAATATTGGATATTTTCATAGTTGACCGGTTTGGGATATACCGTGGAATTTTCGATTTTGTTAGCGCTGTTGTACTTTTCGGATAAAATCTTATATAATATAGCTAGAATAAACGTCGCGAAGATATGCAATAATGACGTCTGCTCTTTGACATCTTAATTGTTATTTATGGGTAACTATTATACTAAAAAGTTGTTGAAATGGGATCGATAAATCATATAAATTAATGTGATATTTTCCTTAAAAAAAACAAACGACGCAATATTTAACGCAAAAAATGATAGGTTAAAAGCAATTTGGGTAGGTTAGTTTAGGTTGAACTTTTTGGAAATTTAATTAAGCAACACGGTTTATTTTACAGACTTGCCATCGTAAGGATTATAGTCTACTTAATTTTGTAATGTATGTAAGTTGAGTTGAGTTGAGAGAGTTCAGAGTCTCTTACCTTATGATTTTTCAGATGTCCTAATATGGGTTGGTCATGCGTGGTGGCACGCGCCGTGGCCTTTGTACTAATGCTGAGCGGCGCGTCGCAAGTCTCCGCGCTCACCTCCGACATGTAAGCATGTAGTCACAGCTTAAAATAAATTACAAGATAAGGTAGACAAGATTTATGGATTTAAGTGTAACACAATTATATATAACATAATTAACCATAGACAACGATTGTAGATTTTAAATATTTCGAATTAGGAACACAGGTTCTCGAATATACAGACATTTTTACATGCGATTACTATGTCGTACTAGCTTGACCATGCCTAACATTGAATCATTTTCTGTCGTTCTCAGAATATATTACTTAACTTTAAATCACAATCTGTATATGACATAAACATACCATCAATATTTATTTATACAGAGTGTTCTTAACTCTTGGTTAAAATAAAATAATTAAGGTGGAAGTATTTAAGAAGTGTTATCCAACAATAGCACTAGATTACACAGCAAGCGATGAATCAGGTGTGGGGTGCGCTAGTGCGACGAGGCGCACGTAACATGACTGTTACAACAGTCATGTTACGTGCGTTGTAAGCAGCTATGGGCTACGGGCTACAGCCCGTAGCCCATAGCTGCTTACAACCGCGCCTGCTCGACTATTAACCACCGTGCTTACTCGGTCATAATGTTAAAAAATAATCACAACGGCTATGACTTACTAGTCAATCTTACTACAATAACGCGTCAACGATTTTTGACTATTTGTCAATATACAATTTTTTTATTGTCTGTCAATTTACCTCGATTGTTGATGTCAAACGGTTTCACATAGTTTTGACTTTCCTTGATTAGCTAATTGATGTGATAACTAAAATAGCTAGCTATAATATATCTATGTAGTTATTAGAATTAATTAATTCATTCGAATTTCAGTATTTTCATATATCGTCTGAAACTAATATTAATAAGTATGTAAAGACTGTTATACAAATTGTACTACATTGTACGATTTATTGTGCGTATGTTTATTGTACATTAAACAAAGTTGCAAGATTCGTAACAACATGTGTTCTCATAATCCGTCGAATGATGTCATAAAATCTTTTATCGTATTTCGATATAGTCCAAACTTCAGCCAACATTAGTCTTGGCTCTGACATATAATTTTTACGTCCCTATATAATCTACACGGTTAGTAATTATATTATACGTTAAAAGAGTCGTATAATTAACTAGTATTATAGTTTATAAGGAGTAGAATATTCACTATATTCTAGCAGTATAAACGAATGATTGTTGGTAACACAAATTATTTAAAGGTTATTTAACACAGTATTCAGATTTCAATAGTCAAAGCGAATGAATTCAAGAGTCTCCATTTATTAATATATTGTTTAATAATAAAAATCCACAATGAAATTACTTTTTCAGCTTTGCAGCGGGCAAGTCGGACAAAGAGATACTGGACAATCTACTAAAAAACTCCCGCTATGACAAAAGACTGCTTCCACCAGTTGATGGTAAATATAATACCAATATCTCACTTATATCATATCGTGTAGAAAACACAACATAAAACATTAGTAAAGTGTGCAAGTTCTCTGTGAGTGCAGGAAAATATTCCGATGTATTTATGTGTGGGTATTAGAATTTGGGATATAACATTGCAGATCCAGATTTTTGTTGTGGTCTGACATCGCCCAATGACAGTCTGACGAATGATAAAGTCGGACTGTCGTCGCTCCGGCCGCGGTCGCACAATCGCGGTGTGTTGTGTTTTATGTTTTTGAAAAGAGAAATTCTTATAGAGTACACTGCAACTTCTACTGCACACAACTCGAATGATATTTTTAACGAATATTTTATAGCAACTGTAGATTCAGATATCTCGCTTTTGATAATACCTGCATAATCCACAATCACTTGTCTTTTTGTCAGCACTATTTTGATGTTGTATGTAGACGCAGCACAATTTTATTATTTTGTTTCTAATAGCGTTTGATATCTTAAAAAACAACAACGTAACGTATCTTTTCAATTTGCGAATGATAAAGTATTTTTTTAATAAAATGAATTTGTGTTTTTAAAATGCTTTATAAACATGTGATTTTCTCTTTTCATAAACAAAAAACGCAAATAAAAAAAATGTTTTGAATTTACAAATGTCAATTTCAATTATTTTCGTACCTTATCAATTCAACAAAAAATATTACTATATCTTGAAAGTGTTCGGAATTTGAACAATCTTTAACCTTCGCGCCATTTTATTTTTATTTCTTACTTTCAGTTTATAAAATCTTCTACAAAGCATGAATAAAAAAAAACATTTTCAACGCTATGTGTGACTATTTTAAGCAAACTATACTTTCAACATTGTGTTGCATTTAATTTAAATTATACCTTTCTAAATACCCTCTGTACATTAATAAAAGGTTGGTAATATAATGTTAAACATTATAAAGTCTTTACCATATTTCTATATTCATTTTCAGGTGTCCTCACCGTTAATGTTAGCGTGCTACTTCTTAGTTTAGCATCTCCAGACGAATCTAGCCTTGTAAGTTGATTTTCTTCCCCTGCAGTAACTATTGCTTTTTTAGCTTTTGATGTGGAAGTTTTTTATTCGTTTTTATTATTAATTTTTCTGACACTTTCAGAAATACGAAGTTGAGTTCCTTCTTCAACAGCAGTGGTATGATCCCCGACTGCGGTACTCAAATCAATCTCACTACGACTTTTTAAATGCCATCCATCACCATGAAGATATCTGGTTGCCGGACACTTATTTTATAATGCACGGTGACTTTAAGGTTAGACAACTCAGAAAAAATCTGTATGATGAATAGTTTATTAGATTATTTAACGTCATGAATGTGAACTAAAGTAGTTTAATACGTGCTTCTAAATCTATGATATTGTTTCGTTATGCATCAATGTTTGAACATATCATTTTAGTGTTTTATTATATTTCAGGATCCAATAATACCAATGCACTTCGCATTGAGAATTTACCGCAATGGTACAATCAACTATTTAATGCGACGGCATCTTATTTTGTCCTGTCAGGGGCGGCTCAACATATTTCCATTTGATGACCCATTGTGTTCATTTGCTTTAGAAAGTAGTGAGTAAACTTTCGTGATTATTATTAAGTACATTATATTCACATGAAATATCGAACTTAGGAGGTAGTTAGTAATAATTAACAACTAAAAAATAATGTTAACTATATGAATAAAAGACTGCAAATGCATTTAGATACAAAGCCTGGACTTAAATAAATGTCGTATAATTTAATAAAGAATGTTGTTAGCAATATCGCCATCACATTGCATTTAATAAAGATAGATTGTATTTAATATACGCATAGCCGTAGAATTAGGATTAGCAAGTTGAGAAGGTAAATATGGCAGCACAAATATTATGAAATGAATTTAGATTGAAATATTTCTAACTGAAGATCCAAGAATTTAAATCGTAAAATGATCTAAACATTACGCTTTGAACTCATTTTTATATATTTATTTTAATTCCAGTATCGTACGAGCAATCTGCCATTACTTACGTGTGGAAGAATGATGAAGATACTCTACGAAAGTCTCCGTCGCTGACAACTCTCAACGCATATCTCATACAAAACCAAACCATTCCCTGTCCCATTAAGGCGAGCTGGAGAGGTAAAGTCCCTTTTTTAAGCTTTAATAATAAAAACAGTTGCTTACACAACATCCTAAATTTTGTTTTTATTATTTTTATCTCCTAGTGACTTAGAATATTCATCCCATGACCTTTTTCTTTTGTTTAAAGCACACACTTATACTTTGCACAAGGAAGGAGAAAAAAGGATAATTTGTTAACTTAGACATTCTAATTAACTCTTTTCAGCTTGGTCTTGATTTGTGTCACAGGTTGATTTGTTAACTTCATTATTTGTTTGAGTAGTAACGTGAGAGCTAGTTATGTGTTAGGCGTTTGATTGTTTAACGGCTTTACCATAATGTTTATTGGGGAATCAGCTAAAATAATTGTTATTTCATCCGCATGGTAGCAAGTTATCATAGTAATTTTTATCAGTAACACTAGTCTAGTGTCTTGTTGCTATTTAATTGTTTCAAAATAAAAATGTAGAATAGATTGTAAGAATCTGTTAACGTCTTTGCAAGCAGCTGACGGTATTTCACTTTACGAGGACGATGAAGAGCTGACATGTAATCTTTGCCAGAGACGCTTTGAGGAGCAAGGTACTTGAACAGCATTGGACAAAACACATTCTGTCCGATGCGGAGATTTTAAAAAGTAATCTTTTCACCGCTTATGTGTGAGTAAATGCGCTGTTGTGTGATTTAAAATTAAATAGCGTAAAACTGAAACTGGCAAAAAGATTATACTTCAGTATGTACCAGTGCTGTTCCATTAATCACTCTCATGGACATTCCAACTTATTTTTAAACAATTATCATCTGTCTTAGTGATTCCTATGCACGATGTTGTGTCATTGCACGTGGTATAGTTTGTCTGTTTGTTTAATGAAAAGTAAAATTGACACTTAGGAGTATGCGCTCAAAAATACTGAAGAAACACAACACGCGTTACTCTTACATACGGAATGTTGATTATTTGATTTTAATATCTATTAGTTTTTGTGTAGTTTTTGTATATAGCAATAACTTTCCGTTGTACAAGGCCACTGAACGGAGTTATTTGGAATTAGTTTATTTTACTAAAATACATTTTTTTAAAAATACACCACTTATATTTCTAAATTAAGCAATTTTTGACAACTGTAGCCCGTTTTCCAACTTTACGTTAAATTATAACTTCACAGGTAACTACAGCTGTCTAAAGGTGGATCTAATTTTCACCAGAGACCGAGCGTTCTACTTTACCACAGTGTTTATTCCTGGAATAATTCTGGTGACCTCCTCTTTCATCACATTCTGGCTGGAATGGAACGCTGTGCCGGCCCGTTCCATGATAGGTAAAATGGCCGGCGATATCAATGTTCTCGGTCTTGCATATTGAATCTCTACTCTCTGTCTGTCGCTCTCTTTCTGTTTAGATGTGGCTGGGGCTGTAAACATGACACGCTAATACTTTCCTTTTGCAGGTTACCCTTGCCTTACTATTGACAGTATACGTCCACTGTCAACGGTCACTCGCAGCGTAGTTTTATTATATTTTCACGTTATATTTAGATTATGCTTAATATTTTTTAGGTAATTACAGCTGTCTGAAAGTGGATCTCATCTTCACGCGAGATAGATCATTTTACTTTACCACAGTTTTCATTCCGGGAATTATTTTGGTGACATCATCCTTTATTACTTTTTGGCTGGAATGGAATGCAGTACCCGCTAGAGTAATGATAGGTTGGTCTATCTTTTTGTTGCGCGTTTTTTTGTTTTACTCATCATAATAGTATCAAATTCCATCATTATCCTTTACATTTCTTCAACACAATTACGTCCGTAATAAATATTCCAAAGTGACAACATCATGGTCTACTTATAACTTTCTTTTAAGCTTCCTTGTTGTTAGTTTTATTATTCTTTAAAAATGCAATAATTTCAAATAACCTGCTTGCATGCATTTAAAGTGTCAGCACATTTTAACAAGTTTAATAGGTTTGTGTAATCGTTAATATATATAAAACATGCAAAACTTTGCGTCTAATAAAAGAAACTACATATACTTTAAAGTAAAAGTATTTTCTCGTAGATATTTAAAAAAAGTATTCATAACTTGCGAGTATTTAAAAATAAGTTTTCTTTATATTCTTCTTCTGTTCTTTATCTAGTTGAATATAATTATTAGATGTAAAGTTTGGCATTTGTTTTTCCAATCGCTTTAAAATGGTGTTATAACAATGTTTATCCGGAAAACAGGCGTCACCACAATGTTGAACTTTTTCACAACGTCCAACGGTTTCCGATCAACATTGCCCGTCGTATCAAATCTCACAGCGATGAATGTGTGGGATGGAGTGTGTATGTGCTTCATCTACGCATCGCTGCTAGAGTTTGTCTGCGTCAACTACGTAGGAAGGAAAAGGCCTCTACACAACGTCGTGTACCGACCCGGAGAGAATCCTGTCACCCAGGTAAAACCACTCGATGTCTTCTTATGTTTTGTTAAATGTCTTATGCCAATGCACTTTCTCAGCATTTGAAATTTAAAAAAAATCCTAAAAAGCTTAAATTAATCTGCAATCAATTAAACTAAATGTGCATATAATTTAACTGCTTTAAAAATGTTTTTAAAATGTTTTAAATCTTTGTAAATGTTCCTTTTTCTTTATTGTCCTGTACATTTAAATTGTAATCTAAAATATCAATGTTATATGTTTTTTAGTTACATATTTTTCAAGGATACGGCACTTTTAATGTTGCCCAAAAAAAACATTTATTACTTCTACTCTTTGCAATGTTTTCTCTTTATCACATATAAGCATGTTCATTTAATTTTCTTTTTCACTTATTTAAAAGCATGATGTCAATTATTTTTATATGTGCATGATATTTAATATTTATCTTCCTTATCACAATATATCAAGAATTTTTCATTATAACACGTCACTAAAAATCTCTGACTATTTGGTGTGGCCATTTTTATTTTAGCATTTTTTTTTGGTTTTAAAAAGAAAACATTGCAAAGATTTCGAGAACGAAAAAATGTTTATGGTTACATTTGTCGTATCTGGCCACAACAATATAGTCTGTGTTCACTGGAGTGCACCGGTATGATAGAACATTTGTCACGAGTGAACAAATCGTCTGTATAATGTGTTCACAGCGACTGCCCGCAGTTCTGAGCAGAATTGGCATTATACTGGCCAGCCCTTTGGTAAGAAACATTCGCCATTCTCATTGGCACATTCCAGACTTGACACTGTTATATTTCTTATCTGTTACTACATTTTATACCTTGTATATTTTTATTCTGTATAATCGAGCGAATGGATTTTTAAATAAATAACCTATCGCTAACAAAATATCAATTAATTATAAGTTAGAGACAATACTACTTTTGGTAGTGTACCTTTTAAATTTTCATTATTTTTTTATAAATATGGATATTACTTTCTATCTACCAGGTTTTCTTGACATTACATTTCAGAATTACCTACCTACTTTAATTAATTAGTCTAGAAAATATTTTGTAAATTGAAATCACGAAATTATTCTCTTTTTACTACGGTTGTGGATAACATCAAGTGTAATGAGAATTAAAAAATAAATTAATTAAATAAAAAATAGTAAAATATAGCAAAACTATCCATCGCTGTTATACAATAGGGTGTCCAAAATAACAATAAAGAAATATAACAGATTTCAGTACCACATTCTTTAAATAACAAGTATTGTATCGAGCATGCTGTAGTTTCGAAAACATGGAAAGTTTTATTAACGAATGCCTTCAATTGGTTGAAAGTTACAGTATATTGTGAAATAATAATCGAAGATTATACGATTTGCTTTAACCGCAAAAGACAAGAATAAGATTTGTTTTGAAACTAAATTTCAGTCGTATTTTTGTCTATGCGATTGTTTAATTTTGACGTTTTTTTTCTTAATTATTGTCAACGTAAGTATTTAAATAAATTAGAGATAAGTTGTAGTAAAATTGTTTATCACGAATATGTACTGTCCGGCTGAAAACATAAGTGGTAAGTTAAGGGTGCTAATTGTACAAATGAATACCTTAACCAATTATTTAAGTTATATTTAATTAACTTTCATGACCTTATGTTACAGTTGGGCAATACAAATTAAACTTAATTTAGATATTTTTGCCAATCACCACCTTATTCAAGTAAACTTTAAATTTTGTACAGTATTACCACATCTGTGTCTAACCTTGCGTAATCATTGTGTTAATTTTATTCCTGTAATCCTACATATATTTCATGTTTAATTCAATACATAACGTCAAATCTACATCATTAAATACGTCATTTGTTAAGACACAAAGAGTTCCAGAAATAAATACCAATGCATAACCTAAAAATATATTTAAAGAAGTTGGGAAATCTATACGTATAAGTTATGTAGTATTAACATTTGTTCATAGTGGCGCTACTGTACAAATCTATTATTGTAATAGTAGTATGTATTTTATTATAGATTTCTAGCTTTAGCTTTAACTACAGACTGTATAGAAAGACGGTATATTCCAAACATCTCAATACTTCTTGTATCATTTGTCATCGCCAAAAGAAATTATATCTTAAGTGATAAGAAGATAACTGTTACTTACTATGGATGTTGAAGAGCTTAAGCCGTAATTCAGCGAAGCTTCTGCAGATCACGATAACAAATTCATTATCAAAGTTGAGCTTCGCGTATATTATAGTATTATTTTCATTGATTAGGAGGCGATGGCATTCCTCCATTGGGCAAAGTCTGATCCGCCCGAGCCGGAGCCCGGCGGCGCTGTAAGTGACGTCACTGACTCTGACCACTCGCCCCGAACATTAGCCAACTGCATTCCATCTTTGTTCTGTATCACAATAAACTAACGCATCATTTTCATTTCAATGCCTCTTCGGATCGTCACAGCCTGTAAGTAGCACATGTTATCACTATCATTAGACTATAAATGAATTTATAAGAACAATTGTTATACAAAAATATCTAAATTTTAACATTACCATAGAAAAGTAGTCCTCATTCCTCCCATTATAGAATTCACTATTACTTAACATTGAACAAACAATAGAAAAACTAATTTTACTGTAGCCGTTATCTCAGGGTGACAAAAAGCGTGAGTCGACGGGTGCCGCCGACCTGGTGTCGTGCGCGACATGCGCGGGCCCGCCTGGCTCCTGCACGCACACCGCCAACAACGGCGGAGTAGCTGAGGTAAGACATGCATTCAGTTATCACTGACACTAACACACACATAAAACCGCTTTAGTCACAAAAAACTTTTCATTTCCCGTTTCATCGGCTTCTTACAAAGAGATTCAGTTTAAAATTCGAATAATCGTAATTTCAGATTACACAACTCACACCAATAATACTTTTGTTATGTAGATTTGGTATTCGAATAGGATGTATTTTTTGTTTCGCGGCCATCATTCATTTGCAAATTAATCTCTTTCAGCCATGTTTCGTCCAGGTCCGCAAAAAAGAGCCACCGCATCCGATCCGCGTGGCGAAGACCATCGACGTGATAGCTCGTATCACCTTCCCAACTGCCTACGCGGTCTTTCTTATCTTCTTCTTCATTCACTACAAAGCCTTCTCTTAATGCCTCCTCTTCCGCTACCCGCTGCAACTTGCTTTTATAAAGTGGACAATTTATAGTATCTACATATTTTGTATTCCTTACTTTCGTCACGGCTACGTAAGTACGAAGAGAAGCTAAACCACACGCGATACCTAACCAGATATTTTTGATGAATTTCAATATTAAATAAGAAATTGTGATTGAACTCGTTTAAGATATAATATTTAAGTTAATAATATAGATTTAAGTGGAAATAATTTAGTGCAAAAGACTAAAGTTGCAGCTTGTGTTGATATGATGATGCCTGAGATTTTTCTACGAGTTTTGAAATAGGTTTTAAATGTTTTTATCGATGGAAGTTAAAGAAAACGATAACGCTATGGGAATATGATTTAAGATAGACTAAAGAGGGATCAAAGACAAATAGTAATGTATTCTCAATTACATTGTGATGAATTAGACAAGGATAGAACATTAAGGTCGGAACGCGATGAAACCGACATCGTAAATAACATTTAAAAATATATCTATTTCAAATCTTAAAACAGTCCAATTTTTATGAAAAATCTCTTATGCTCATAGATTATAGAATAAGGGTAGAAATATTACGTTATAAATTTTATATGCCATAGACAAATCACTTTAGATGTAGTTTTCATTCGATTTAAAATCACGTTCGTTGTGATCATTTCGTGTATTATTTAAAAGTTGTTTCATAGAAGTGAAGCTATATTACAGAATGTATTCAATTAGATGTAGTTTATAAAGCTCAAAATATATATGTATAAAATCAACATACATACAGACACACTGAGATGTTAAGAATGCCATCCACTTAATGTGTTGTTCCCGTTCTTTTATTTAAATCAGAAATATCTACAATCCATTGTTTGTAATAGTTCAAAAATAATTTTGACAATGTAATCCAAAGGTCATATCAAGCAAACTTCAATAACAATTTATAAGAGTTGAGTATTCAGAGAAAAATATCGTATATGGTACACTATTATATTAAAGTGTGGATGAGAAACCAATGTAACTGCCAACACATACCTAATGTCCTGATATATAATTTTAGGTATTGTAGATTGTAAGGGCCTTTCAAATATACATTTTTTTGGCTTAAATTATAATTCGGTAGTATTTCACTTAGTATTGCGAATAATAATTCTTTTGAAAGTAAGTAAAACCAATTTTTATTGATTAATTCATATGAAATAACGATGGGTCTGTTACGGTTTATGAAATTATAACTATAATATTATTATTTAATAAAAAAGAAACGAGAATTAATAATCAATGGAAATAATACAGATTGTTTTCTAGGGCTTATAACATATTATGACCAGCAAAGACGTGTATATTGTTATTAAAATCAGTTTTAATTTAGCTTTATATTATGACTAAACTTTAGTTATCCAGAATATCAAAAGGCTTTATCTTTTTTTGTCCCAAACTTTAAAAAAAAAAACTATCTCGGTTTTACCGTTCAAGTGTTAATTTTTTTTTGTGCATTGCAATGATTTTTATAAGATATCCCGTGACTTAAATTTATGAAAAAGGCATAATTTTATATGTATTATCAAATAAAATATAGTGTTCAAAGCATTTGGAATTGCCGCTAAGAGTATTTTACATGATACCAGTTTTAGAACATGTATCGTAATTTTTTTTGGGTTAACACCAATGAAAGTATTTAGCCTAAAAAGGCATTGTGATGAAATGTGTTAAGTGTTTGTTGTACCAAGGTAGTATCTCTATATGGTAATACAGTTCATATTGCCATTATCGTGATATAACTATATATCGAAATATGTATATCTTCATGTAATTATAATCCACAGAACACCATCGACTTATGCCTTTTGCTTATACGCGGACCAAAGTGTCAACTGTTTCGGAAAGTAAATTTTATATTTAATAATAATAAATGTATAATTAATAGTATTATAAGAATAAAACACGTCTTGGCTGTGCTTCTAACATAAAATACGTTATGTATCGTATATGTATGTACCAATGATTTTATTATGTACTTTTGTTAAGTGATTTATGTGTACGTATCTAATATACCGCTTTAAAATATAATGATAAGTAATATATATGCTTAGCTTTTTGTACGAAGAATGTCTGTAAAATTATAAAGTAAAAAAAAAAAACACATTTGCATAGAAAAAAAGAGAACTTTGACTATCAAATGTAACAGAAATTATATTCTAAAAGTGTAATAGTACAAAGAAACTGCATGTATTAATGCTAAGTACAATGGTAAAACAAATCATCACATAAAGTCATTGAATAATTTAAAACTAATATACAATTGTTTTTTTATTATTAAAATGTATTGTCTAGTCGAGCTAAGCTCCAGCGCAGCGCCAAACATTAAAAATTATTTATTACTTTATGTTTTAACGAGCTATGTTCAGAATCTATTTTAAAGTTTATCATGTTGTTACTTTTTAGAATAGAAATCATTCCCTTATGTTAAAAAAGTGATAATATACTTTAATCGATGTTGTTTTATATATTATCTATGTATTCGAGAGTAAGATTATAAACATATCATTCGCTTTATAAGAAATAAATAACAAAATTATTGCTAATATATGACTACGTTGAACTTTTCTTAAATATAATTAAGTTCTATATTAAATTGTTATTGTAGTTAAAATATACATAAATACATAATAAATACCTCCTTAACGACATAAATATAGCAAAATTTATATGTATATGTAATTGTGATAATAAGATTTTGAATGTTATCAACAGGTTATTTTGCTAATCTTTTAAAACCTTACGTCTAGTTTACAGTAAGCTAGTACAGTCAGCTGCATAAATATGTAGATAATCATTAAACTTTAGAAACTTTTATAGGTCTTTGGTAGAAAAAATACTTATGCATAAATTCGTCAATTACGTGTAATCATCGTCGAAAACATACGGACTGATGCGTGTATACATATTTTTGAAACCGAAGGCGTATACTAGATTTTGAAGTTCAATAAATGTAAACATATTTATGCAGCTGACTGTACAGTACGACAGCAGCGCTGGCCTGTCATGTTCTTTTTGAGTCACTAGCGTCAGTTAATGTTTATGTTATGCCAGTTAATTTTCAGAGTATTGTTGATTACTGTACTGGAATATTGTAAACCGGGCATTATGTTTATAATGTGTAATTCCGTTTTTGCAAATATCAAAGGCAACGATCATTGAATTGGTCACGTAAATAGACATGATATGGTCTAAATGTTATTCACTTGTGTTAAAAATATATAAATATTACTCACAATTCATAAGCTAATTTGAATAATTGTTTTAATCTTAAAAATTGCCTTAAAATTTTTATATAGTGTTCATATTATAAGAATGTAGGAATTTACGTAATTATTTTAACTCGCGTAATTAAAACGATAAGATAAAACTTTAAATTAACTTGATATTGTTACTTTTTGTTATTAGACAATTTAATTATTGTATAATTCAGAACACTTGAGAGATTATTTAGGCGAGGGACACAAAACGTAATTTTTGTATCAAATTTGTTTGGCTGTCCGTCCCTTAGTATGTAATATTTATAATTGAATTTTTCTTAAAGTTATAGTAGATTGTTTTAATTCCAGAGTAAGGCTTAAAAGTTTAATAAAAGCAGCAAACGAAAATAAAATCATAAAGCTTTAACGCCTCCAAAGACTTTAGTAAACGTCTTCGCGTATGTTTCAAATTAGTAGGTACAAGAGTAATTCTCTACCGATTCATAATTCAGATTGACTGCCTCACACAGACAAGTTAAGAGATCCCTAACAGAGTCCCGTAGGGTAGATTAAGTATCAAGGAGAAATCTACACTAAGCTACTACTTAACTGACTAAGTAATTGAGTGAGGCTGTTAAAAATACAAAAGTTATTTAAACTAGATCTCACTGAATTGTAAAAAATGGATTTGTTTAAGTCACGACAATTTTCCTTTACTTTTACCTATCTTAGAATTTAGATATAATGTTATGTCATAAGCCTTTATGTCATAAGCGGATACAATCACGCATGTTTCCTATGGTTTCAATGAATATAACGTTTTTCAATTGAGCGCTTGGTTATTTAGAAAAATACATTCAAAAAATCATACTAAACAAGATTTTATGTCGGTCATTGCAATTTTTTTGATTAATAACATTCCCTTCGGATCTGTATTTAAGTCCGATAAAACAGTATTATTTGAAATCTTAACCCTATAAATACGCATACTTCGAATTTTGACTCGGCAAAAATTTCGTTAACATAGCAAAAAAAAACTTAATTAAATTTTGTAAAAGTAAAAATGGCTTGAAACTATTTACAAGCTGTATATGACCACGCGTGGTTTATGACGCACTCGCCTATGCTCTCTTTTTTGGTACTACATCTCATGTTATTGTGCACGAGTAGTACAATTCTAGCGTGTTCTACAGAATGAAATGGTTCAGTGAGCGATACTATTATTTATAGCATAAGTAAACATAAGTACATTAAGCATTGTTTAGATAAAATTTGAAAAGACATTAGTGAGATAGTATACACGCAATAAAATCCTCAGAATCAATACATTTGTTTGCTTAAACTTTAAGATTTAATAATTGATTTTCTATCTTTTTTTGTAGCTAAATTATTTTATCGTCACATCACTAGGAATAGTCCAATGTACAATTTTTTTTCATTTATTGCAACAGATTATCGCTATTTCTATCAGCTTTTCATATAACATCAAAATCGAGTGTGGTTACCCTAGTATGTTGAAGACTAGTCTATATATTTTTTTATATAAATATTATAAAAGCAATGTATTATTATAAATGATAATTGAGCTAAGGAAATATGCGACAAGTAGAGCTTGCGATAGGTAAAGATACGTTATGTTTTGGTTATTACGTAAAACATAACATTGCATAAAATTTCAATATATTTAAGTATTGCGGAAAACAGTTTTGTTAAAATAAACCACATTAATATGCCTAAGCAATTTACTTTCGAGTGGCAAAAAGAAATTGGGTGCAATGTGAATATATTTAAAATTAGTATGTTCTGTTTTTATTTTTATTGGCACGCGTCGCGACTGTAAATAAAATTAATAGGTTATGCGATCCAACGTTTGTATTACGGCATTGTAAATATTTTTATTGTAAAATTTATTAATTACAATTTTCAAATAATACACAAATTTTAACCATATGATATGTGTCTATTATTAACCCTCAATTGGCAAATTATGTATTTGTAATGAAATGTTTAAAGGTACGGTAATTATTTTTCCAAAGCACTACGGCTGAGAAGCTTGCAATGCTTTACAGTTTATACGATTTGTAAAAAAATATTTTCGGCAGATATTTAGAGTTCTATGCAATAAATTATAAATATAAAAAATATGATTGTACAAAAATATATAATTACCCCCCTGCCCTCATTTGTCTTTTATACTATTTTTAACCGACTTCAAAAAGGAGGAAGTTCTCAATTCGTCCGTATGTTTTTTTATTACAAATTACGAATGATGCCACACAGTGTCCTCTAACAACAAAGGAAATATTGCTATTGTGGTCAAAACGCCAACACCGAATTTCTTTGGTATATCCCAGCGTTACCGAAAGAAGATAATGCTTTAAGGTAGGTATTTTATATATTCTTTAATTACTACAGTTTTGATATAATTGGATAAATCGGAGACCTTGTTTATTTTTTATCTTATCTCACGATATTGAAAAGCAGTATTTAGCCCAAGAACGTTTTAGTAAGACCGTATTTAGAAATATCCCTTGTATGTTCTGGAGTATGACCTACAGTCATGTATGTCTTATGATCATTTATGCCATTGTCATTTGGCTTAAAGGTTTTGTACCCATGCCTCCAAATTTTAAAAAATAATTTTGTCATTTTGACTAACTTGATTCCATAGCTTGACGTTGGTTTGACATTTGATTTATCCAATATATTTCAAATTGCATTTTTCAAAAGAATTAGATTCTTTTTGGTTTATTATTATTTGCAACGGATTTTTCCTTTATTATTGACAAAGGCATGTTATATAGTGGCTATAGAAATGATATTTTTAAATCTGTGGTCTATATTAGAATGGTACCTGAGACCTTTCATCAAATGGTTTTTTCGTAAAACAACGCGTTTGTGTGAATTACAAAGAATTTGTTATGGAGATAAATCTGGAGCTGCAAGAACGTGCAATATTGAAAAGTCTTTAATGCTATCAAGAACACAAAATGTGAAAGAAGTAGTTTCCTATTTGGATTCCACAGTTTTAGAGAAGACGTTCGTTCCAGCTAACTTTCGAGATATTTTAGACCCATCTATATCAATAATACTGAGAGTTAAAAAAATAAACCCAAAGCTTCATACATCCTTTGTTTACTCCTTTAGACGATGTTTAGAACAAATTTGGAGTTACAGAAGTCTACTAAATGATGTGGAGGATCTTCGAACATTGCAGTTTGATAGTAACAATGAATTGCATGAAGAAAAGCTGTTGAATTTGTGGTCTCGTTTAGTGCCTGATACACCACTAGAAAGTAGAGTAACTAAGCAATGGCAGCACATAGGATTTCAGGTAACTACATTTATTTATGTTATAACTGTGGTATACTCTACAGCAGGTAATGACCATGTTTGTCTTTTTTAGGGTGATGATCCCAAGACTGATTTTCGTGGTATGGGAATGTTAGGACTTGAAAATCTTCTATTTTTTGCTACAGAGTATCCTGAAATATCAAGTCATGTGCTAAGTCATTCACTCCACCCTACATATGGTTACACTTTTGCAATTGTTGGTATTAATATAACATCAATGGCTTACTATCTCTTAAAAGATGGATCTGCCAAGACTTACATGTTTAATGCTAAGCGATGTTTACCTAACATAGATTTATTTCACAGGTTTTATTGCTATTTATTTTATGAGTTTGATAAAATGTGGATCGAATCTAAACCAGAAAATATTATGGAGTTTTCAATGATTTTTAGAAAATTTGAAAATGCAGTTCGCAGTGAACTAGCTGATCCTGCCTCAGTTTTTAGAATAAAAGTAGAAGTTGACACTATATAATTATTTTTCTAGTCTTATTTATTATTTGCATGTTAAATTTTAGTGAAATTTACATTTGACACTAAGTACAAGGTAAAATTATCCTTACACATGTCTGGACAAGCACTTTTTTGAGTGATATGTGCTAAAACATGCTACTTTTTTCTTTGTATTAGGGAATACATACAACACTGTAAAACTAAAAGTACTTATATAAAATGTCTATGTGTGAAGCTTATATGTCTTGAACATTTCATAGCTTTATTTTTTTTTAGAAAGGATTTTTACTATTATAAAATAAATAAGTTCCCACTTCAATTTAAATTTGTTTCAGTTGTTTTATATTAACTTTATGTGATCTGAGCAATAACTGAGTATATTGTAGATATATTTTTAGCACAATATAATAAATATTTGCAATAATTTACTGCTTATGAGAATGCACAATGTTTTTTGAAATATACACTTTAAACAATATAATTTTTATTTTACATCAAGAAAAAACAACATCCCTGCAACATAACCCAAAATGTTCCTTCCTAAATTGATTCAAATTCTAACTAATACGCATCTTAACAGGTCAAGCTATGTGAGAAATACTAAGAATGATTAAAAAATTGTTAGAACATTGTCCAGTGATTTTGTGCTTTTCAATATCAGATATTGTATTAGAAGTATTAACTCATAATCTTAGACCCACACTGTAGCAGTAAACACTTATTAAAATTAATAAAAATTTCAAAAGCAGCAAAACAAGAAAATATCATACATATTTTATTTTAAAAATATATTATATATAAAATTACAAAATACATATCCTCAAATGAAAGCACCAGTGACAAAAAATAATTAAAAAGCTAGGACGGATCTCAGATACAAATTATAAGGAATGTTTGCTAATTATTGTTTCCTATTGTTTAAAAAAATAAAAGAGATCAATAGGAATCATGCAGCAAAAAATTGCATAGAGCATTTATTTACTCTTTTTGTCTTTTTTAACACCTTTTGTTTTTGGTTTTCTGGCCTTTACAAGGGCTATCAATGCCGTAATAGCAACCAAGCCAAATCCTGCTAATCCAATTTGCCAAATCCATGGATATTTTATTAATATATCCAATCCATAAGCAATGCTGAATTTCAACATATCAACTGACCAGTCCACAACTTCATCACTGAAACAAAGATTATTATTATAGATATCTCTTACTTATATCACAAAAAAATGCAGAAAACTGTGAATTTTGAAGTAAATCATGATTAAAAATTTAATTTCTATACTTACAAAGGTGATGCAAGAAGGGGCACAACTTCAGCTTTAGCATTTTTGTACCAATCTTGTGCAAATGATACAAATGATTTAACATCATTCTTTGGTAAATCATATCTGTAGACTTTTCCTAATCGGAATCTGGATTAAGAATAATCAAACATTACTTAAAAAAGAAATGTCTTCCAATTGGTTGGGTTTTAAACATTAATTAACATCAATATTTACTTTATAATACAAAAATAATTTCTCAAAGTTTCAAGTGATTGTAATGCAAATAAATGCAAAATAAGATATGCATGTGAAAAAAAAAATGAACAATAACAATTTAAACAACTATTGCAAATTATATGGAGTCATGTACATTCAAAATGAAACTTACAATAAGAATGATGGCAACTTAGAGATTTTAAACCGTTTTGCAGTATTAACACCAGGAAAGCTAGCATCTATGCGAGCTACATTTATGCGGTTGCGTAAAGTAGCACCCACACTCTCCCATACAGCATGCAACCTCTGACATTCCACACATGAAGCACCATAGCTGAAACAAAGATGTAAAGAGAATAGATTTTAGTGAACCTTACTGTTATATGGACACCATAGGAACTATAAAAACCCAAGTCGGGGTGGGAACGGTAATAGGGTTTACAAATTGAAGTAGAAATGTAGCAGCAGGTTCACTGAAAATAATAAAATTTTATTACAAAAGGAGCTTATTTTAAGGAGTTTTTTTTTTGGAATATCTGTATTAGTTATATGGTGTTGTAGATGTTTATCAATAAGGACAATAATTTCAAAAAATAAAAGTTAAATATGACTTACAACATGACAAACCAATCTCCAGTAGTTGCTCCAGTAGCTGCCTGAGTCATGTGCTCAAATATTTTATCAGTAAGCTCTTTGACAGCGGGAGACTGATTCTTATCAAAGAACCCATATATTTCATTTTCATCTGGTTCTCCTGTAATTATATATTATATAAGAAACAGCAGAACATTTAAATATTTCCTACATAAATAACTTTAATTTTCATATATATATATGTTTCAAAGTTATTTTCATTTAAAATAAGCAACTACATACCACTGTATAACAAAGGAACACCATGTCTAAAGAATACCACAGCGGGTTCTTTACTAGGACTATACAAACGAACCAAGTGACTATTTTCTGTTTTCACTGTCAAAGCATCAAGGTGTTTTTTAAAGTCTACATTTAAACTATCTAACTGTTGATCAAACTTATCACATAGAGGACAATTTGTTTTTGCTGAAACAAAAAAAGTAGGAATGTAGATTAAGACATGTATGTTCGAGTTGATTTTATTTTTAAGTTTTAAGTCGTAAAAGATTAACCTAACCTCACCTCAGTGGTTCTTTGTTAATATTTTTGTTAAAATTGATAGAAAATAAAGTTTTAGGTACTTACAAAATAAAACAATGAGCTTCTCTTTTTCTTTAATTAAAGACAATAACTCTTCATCGCTTACATTCTGTAAATCGGCGTTAACAGACCAAGTACACATAAGTAGAACGATTAAAAATGTTAATCCCATATTGTATTCCTACGTATTGTACTCAAAGCTCTTAAAACCAAATACTTTAAAACTTAGTACTAAATCTAAACATGATAAAGGTAAAGAAATAAAGTGTGAATATAAATGTATAACTGTAAACCAAATTATCTCGTAAGGTGATGATGACAGATTGACATTGACAGATAACATTTAGTTTACATCACTACTGTAGTGTCAAAGTCTTGATTTTATGATTGGTCCTAGATTTGAACTAATAAAATAGAATAGGTGCCGAAGTAACGGTCAATAACATTAACAGCAGGCGCTTTTAAGTTGGAACGAAGCAAAAAGCAAAATTTTTAAGTAGCGACCTGTCCATATCTCTAGAGGTCAGTGATTCTATTATATACTCTTTGGATTCTACTAAGATTTTTAAAAATAAAGTAATAAGTACTGTCTATGGCCAGCATATGCAATGCAATGGTTTTGATTTGATTATGGTTTTTAGTTAGTGGCAAGTTGATGTTGGATTTATTTATGAAAGTTGTTTACCTTTTCGTGTTACCTTGTTATATTTTTTTATCTTACCTACATCTATATTGGTAAGTCCATAAAAAATGAATGTTTAAAATAATAATACTTAAAGGCTTTTATGTATAATTAATAATCTCTGTCCAAGTCTCACACACATTATAGTACAAATTTTTATTAATACTTTTATCTACTCTCCAAAATACTAAATATGACTGTAGATATAAATGAAATAACGGTGTTGTACGTGTATATTTATAAAGCTTTTAATCCAAAGTTGGCAAAAAAAAGCAAGGGCAATCTGTGACTCATTCTATTCAAACAGGAATTAGTGACTGATAAATGACGTGATTGTTTTATTTAATACAGTGACTTGTAATTAAAATATAAAAATGGAAAACTTAGAAGAAAAAGTGATTATGACACCGAAATGTAAAACACCCACATCAACCACAATAGTTGTGGAAAGAAAGGTGGTTGATGCTGCACCTAGTGACAAAATACATGTCGCGGGGGGAGACCATACTGGTATCATAATAAACAAGGAAAAAGTATATGGTAAGTTTAACCCTAACACGTTATTTAATAAACCGCTAGCTAAATAATTTAGTAATCTGTTGATTTTTTAAAATGTATTCAACCGTTTTTGCTTATATATTAGAAATGTTCATATTCCTTCATAAGGACGCATATTAGCTGAATATGTAACAATTCTTATCAATTCTATTATTTAAAAAACTGACTGAACCTTTACTGGAAGATAACCAATGTGTTTAAGGAGTAACTTAGGTTATTTCTTTATTTTCAATCACTTGCTGACAAACTTGCAAGTGAACGCTAGTTTAATAAAAATATAATTTCAGAGAATGGAGTAACAGAGCCATGCCATGCACAATTAGAATTCTGTGTCTACTTGGTGTCAGCTGCCACTGGTTCACACACACGGGAGGCGAGAGCACTAAGGTTCTGGTTCAAACCTGAAGTACCAAGAGATGAATGTCCCCATGAGGCACAGGGCTTTTTTCGTGAACTTGTTAGTCCACAGGACTTTCCTAAAGGTAATTCAATTTTTATTGTTCAAACTGGGTAATTTGATTATAATTTGGATAATGTAATAATGAATTATAAGAAGGGTAATTTACTTTTAATGCATGGGTTTAATTGTTTTTGATTTTTAAATTTATACTATTGTACCACTTATTAATGCATGTGATAAAATTTATTTGAAACTTTTATAATTTCTTACAACAAAGATTGTAAGATTTGTAAGGTTTAAAGAAATATTAATAAGAAAACCCTAATTCTGGTAAGTATCCTGCTTCCTATAAACTATATGTTATTGTCACATATTTTGTCAAAGTTCAAAATTTAAAGTGTTCTTATATAATTTATATGTTGTGTTTATATGTAGATTTGTTTCAGATTATGTTGGTTTCATAAAAAAAATCATGAAACTAATGCAGAATAAATATCATCAACTTAAAATATTGGAAGTTGAACTCAGACAAGAGGTTTGCGGACCCCCACCACAAGGTACATACAATTTATTACATAACAGTTTATTGTTAATCCAAAGGTGAAATGATTCAAAACAATTTTTTTCCTCACTGATTGTCATTAGATTCTTATTTTGTTTTTACGAGATTTGTCAGGCATTTAAATATCTACTTAAAAAACCTAAGTATGTCATTGAAAGTTACAAAAAAAATTGAAGTATCTCTTTGTCACTAACATCGTATTATTTTTATATACATATTTGTATTTATTATGGTATACATGTATTATTACAATAATTTTACTCTTCAATTTGATGACAGAATCAAATGGAGTTATGTCCAGTAAAGGCCTTATATACAAGTATTCTAATGGATGTATGTATGGTAACAGCTACATAGAGCATGTAGTTTGTTTGTTGTTTTTATTTATTTTATATCCTTCACTAATATGTTGTGAGTTTGTGTTATAATTTCATTTGCACATGTTAACTGTATGTAATATCCCAATCACTTGTATATGTCTATTTCATGTTTTTACTAATAAATAAATATGTATTTTATTATATATATCCTTAAAAAGTATAGAAGTTTTTAAAAGCATGTTAAAGACATGAATTTAGGAGTATATTTTATCTTTAATTTAAAAATGTATCTTCAAATTAAAATATCAATTTGTACCAATGTTTATGTATGTTATGTGCTTGTATAAAAGCTTATTTACAAATTTAAATGACTGTATTTCACAACATAGTAAAGAAGTACATTTTTGAACATAAAAATGTTAATAAAATTAGTCCCTAAAATATAATAACCATAACTAATGTTAGGAATGGCCTGCCATGTGAGGATTATGTTGCTAATTAAATTAATAGGCACTGCATTTTGATATTATATATACAATGTTTAAGTTTATTATGTATATATAATAACAATAAACTTAAAAAACTGTATATTATGTACATTTTGCCCACCACACATTTAGTGACCATCAAAATTATGTATATATGAATATGCTCTTTGTAATTATGTATCATAAATTGTAATGTTATCATGAAAACATGTTAGATGTATTAATTAAGATTTTATGCCACAACTTTATTCTTGTATGAAAATGAATGAGCATTATTTAAATACAGATAGATAGAGATAATATTGTCATTCACTAGTTAATATTTAGCTAGATTTCATTTCATCTAGATTATAGATAGTGAATAGCATAAATTATAAATTAGTACACCGTTTATTGCCAGAAAAAAACATATGTAGGTGCATGTTTCATATTGAATTATATTATTTGACAGACAATTAAAATAAGTTTATGTTTCAGCTTTCATTGAAGATAGTGTTTTAAATCAAACACAATTTATATCGGAGCAAAGAGTGTTGGATATGATTGAGAATGCATATCCCAATCCATTGACTGTAGAAGATTTTGTCACGTAAGTTACAATATTTAAATCTATATTTTAATTACATTTAGTTGACCCGATAATCAATTCTCAACCATTTATACTTATGTTAGGAATTTTTAATTGAAATTAATATCAACTAATTCAGATTAAAATGATCTGGAGAGCAAAAAATAGTCTTTATTATTCATTTTATGTACTTGTTCCCATGCTAAGTAATTAATTTAATCACCATTTCTAGCCAATTTATCCAAAAATGTATATTCAAAAATTGTTATTGTTACAGTGTTGGAAAATGGTCAAAAGCAGAGGTCAAAGATGCATTAGAAGCTTTGGAAGAAAAAGGTCTGACAAGAGCTATGTCGGAGGGTTTATATATACGACAACATAGCATTGACACACAGGTAAACAATTGTTAAGTATGTTCAAAATGTGTGTATCATCTTCTCAATGTGTAATTATATGAAAAGAAAGAAGCCTGCTTAATTTACAAGTTCGTCTTCCTTATATGAGACCCTTGATCTTGTTTGATTAATTTCGGACTCGTTAATTTAATAATCCAAAGTCCTTCACATTGGAATAGACGTCATAAAGGAATTAGTAGTTCTAGTTGTCTGTTCACTAAATCTCTTAACACATTTATCTAACATCTTATAATCCTATTAGTATTCACATAAGAAATTCCTTTTTCATTCAAATTTGTTTGTAAATATAGTAATTTGCCTGCCCACATTTTTTCGTAAATTTTTACAATTTGTACTATTATTTTTGCATATATTAAGGTAGTGTAGAAGTGTTATATTGTGATTGTTGTATGCAGGTAGTGAAACAAATGCCCACACTTTGCTCGTCACGGCAACCAAGCATCGCCATCATCACAGCGTTGTACTGTGAGAAGCAAGCCGTTGACGCCATGATGGATAACCAAGAGACATATGTCCGTTATACCACTGTTGGTGAGTCATGTTTAACTATTAACTAGCCATAGTTTTTTCTTATATCCATTCCGTCTTATGTTATCAAATTTTGCTATCCCAGTCTGCTATGGATGATATTTTCATTAAATGAATAACTTCAAAGTGCAAAATTATTGGAAAAACTCGACTTAACCATTGCTTCCTTGTAACAGTGAGAAAATTTACATATGCATTCATGCTGAGGGATAATTCCTAGGGCTGAAACCCAAATCATTTACTTTATTTTGATGTAATACATCCATATTGTTATACCGTCCAATAGATTTATACAGCTGTATGTTCCAACTATAAAATATACAATATTAATTTAATGTACCTATATTTATATTGTAATAAGATGTGAAGGTGGAAGGCGCTATCTATATGGGCTATAATATTTCATAACAGAAATGGTATTAAAATATTGCTGGATCTCAAGATTATCAAAGTAGTCACATGTTATTAATGACTACTTATATTAGTTATCGCAAAATTGTAAATATAATAAGTTTATAGTTAATAAAATTTTGTTTAAAATTTTAATTAGCTACCAACTAAAATTGCCTATTGGTTTATTTTTAAGTTTTTATCTTCTGCTAGTCTTCAACATTATCTATCTTACTTCTTACTAATGTTATAAAAGCAAGACTTTGGATGTGTGGATGTTTGTTAGAAGATATTGCAAGAATAACTCCGTTGATCTGGCTGAAATTTGTTATAGATGTATACCTGAAAGAACATACAGGCTACTTAAAAAGTTAATTTTAATTTCGCCCTGGACTAACTCGCGAGCATATAAGCGATTTAATGATAAAATCCATTTGAAAATATCCGTTTATTAAATATAAAATAAATAATTAGTCACAATAACTTATAATGTGATGTATACATAACGCAATACCTTAAATGTTACACACAAAATACTCATCAAGAGAAAACAAAAATAGCTGCACAATAGTTCCTCTTAATAATACTGAAAATACAATAAGCTCAGTAAGATCTACTTGACATCGGAATAAAGATTCTTAAATGCGTAAATAAAAAGATATATATTTCTCGATGGTGGGATAAACGAAACTTAACACTATCTGTCTTATCGAAATACATAACATGTCAAAGATAATTATTAAAGGCAATACAACAATGTGGTATATTAAAATAAATGCATAATCCTATGCCCTATACATAGTCACGAAATAAAGGTTAAATGTTTTATGGCCAGCATTAAAACTAAATCAATTAATAAAAAAAAAATACTATCAGAATTTAAATATTGTGTAGTGATAGAAAGTATCAATATTAACATTTCATTAGACCAATTTTTAATTTCAAACATTTATAAAGACGGTAGTAACTACAAATGTTTTGCATTGACACAAATCGTCTTGAGTTAATTCCATCTTTTTGGTATTAATACTTTCTATAACTTATACATTATTGATAATCGTAAGTTTAATATGTTGTGTACTTTGAGTACTTATGAAGTAGAATATATTCACTATGTCCAATTTTCATGCAAACTTAAATTCTAATCCTTCAACTTTAGCAATGTCACCGCTCAATGACAAGAATCTTATCTCATCTATATTATGTTTTAATGTAATTTGTTCGAAATATGATTCGCCAACATAAATTTCCAATGTGTGCCCACTTTGATAATTTCCATTTACTCTTATTGAGAAACCAAATTTGAAGCTCAAATCTGAAATAAAAAAAAGTAAGTTTAATAATCATAGTACACAGAATATGATTAAATTTTTTGAATCATTTACATAGAAATTCTAAAGTTTCCGAAGAAAATAATTAGTTGAGTTCTATACCATAAAAAAAATGTTACTGCCATAAAACATTTAAAAATATGTAATACTAGCTGTCGCCCAAGACTCCATACACAGAGAATTAAAAAAAAACTTAATAATTAGCATATGTGTTTTTCCAGACTGTTCTACATCTGTACCAAATTTCATAAAGATCCCTTTAGTTGTTCTGGAGATATTTTCAAACAAACATCCATTTATCCATTTAAAAGATTAGTAAGAAGTAAGATTCAAGAATGTAAGATTGTTATCATTCAAATAGACTAACAAAAATGAAATATTGACATACCTGTGAATAATTCTGTAGCCAAAAATGATTGATAGTCTCCAGGGATTGTTTCATTATTTCCATTTTGAATAACTTTCAATAGCAAACGGTTTGGATTTGTTGGATTGGCCGGGAATGATGCTTCTAGTTGGCAGGCAATATTTTGATAGTCAGGTGACATACTGCCTGTTAGTAGACTCACTGTCAATCTATAATAAAAAATATTTCATCTTATAAACAACATATTTGTTGATTACATTAAAAGATAATTTACCAGTTTTGAAATTTAATTGCTTGATTTCTCTCCATTTTAATAACATTTTAGAACTGACATCATATGCCAATAAAACTAAAATTGAATGCTGTAACCAGTAAGCTACATAATAGCCAATTAAGCCATATTTTTAATTCACAGAAAATGACTATACATTCATTGTGGGTTATCATGTTATGACTATACATGAAATGTTAACAGGTGTAGATTATTTATGGGTTGATTGTTTAACTAAGGATAAGTTTGAAAAAAAAAAATAGGTACTCACATTTGTGGGTTATCGATCATGTTGCCAGCAACAGTGATCTGGTCACCTGCACTCAATTGCTTTGGTAAGACGAACATGATTTCGTTTTTTAACTGGGTTACTGGCCAAGGTGGAGCTCTCTGACTGCTACCATTTATGCGTCTACTAAAATCCACTTCTTCATTTTCAACGCGAGATCTATAAAAGTCAATGAGTTAAAACAGTTTAAGAAATTACGTTACGTATTTTTTATTTGCTACTATAAAGCATTATTTAAACCGTGAAAATAAATACGTGAATCCGTGTCTTCTATTTGTAATCCTAACCTAAAATAATAGTGCGTACCTGAAACATCCTTTTTAATGTTATATTAGGAAATTTAATTTTACACTTTGCCTGAATTGCTGTATATTGTTATTAATGTCTTTTAATAAAATAAAAAATTATGCGCTAGACATTATTTTCAATAAATAGTAATAGTAAACAATAATACGTCACTGTGTTATATACGGAGTACGCTTGACATTGACATTTAAATTGACGTCTAGGAATTTTGTAAGTACAGCAAAAAAAAAACCTGTTACGACATATTTTAAATTGAAAGTTATTTTGTTAATTTTTCGAAACAAATTATTATTTCATACCCCGCGATGCATTCCAAACATGCTTTCAGCATCTTCGACTATTTCTGGATATGGATACGATTCCACAAAAACTACGCGTCTTTTCAATCGAATGCCGTGATTTAAATGACCAAATCAAAGGTGCATCTTAGATTTACGGTGACGTAACATAGAAAACAAACACCGTGTCACTACACAAACCTCCGGTTTAACGGCTAGCACGTCACTGCGCGTGTGGTTAGCTGCGAGACTTCAGTTTGAATTGCGGAGCAGATTGTTCATTCATACATACACTACTGTTATGTGGCTGTCGTTGCACTGCCACTGAGAAAACTTGTTCTTACATATTATCGCTAGTTCCGTATCAAGTAATATTGATACTATGTATAAAAGAGGCGCTTGCGCCGGCGCGGCGCTCTTACAGTCTTATGATACGCGCGATTATAGCTTAAGAAAATTTTTATAATGCTGTTGTTTACTTACTTCAACAAACAATGTAGGTAATAAATAACTGTTGAATACGAGATAACACGGTTTCTTTAACAAAGATACAATTTCTTTATAAGTTACACCAGAATTTTGAAAACGATCTATCGGCAGACACAGTTGATTGAATTTTAGTTTAGAGCGCTTATAAACAGTTATTAAATCTATAGATTATTAGGGTACCGCTCAGATTATCTGGAACCATCTACTTTAAAAGTTTGTTTGTCGGAAACATAAAGGGAAAACAGCATTTCATCCTATCGCCTACCATAAATGAGGCGTCTATTATAATGTCAATGTTTATTACTGTTAACTGGTGAAACTTTACTGTGAACCATGCCTCGTGTTTTTGTTTCTTCTTTCGTTCGGAATGATTTAACAAGTACGACGAAGCGTGACTTGAAAACAAAGTAGCCTTGTGACAGAGGTTATACGCGATGTATACGCAGGAATGGCTTGTTAAATCAATCGTGAAATAATAAAATTAGCATATTTGTGATACTTTATAATAATACATAAACTATGGTTATATGAAATAAATTTACAAATACTTAAAAATCGCGTAAAACTCAAGCCACTTATTTGCGATAGATAATCAGCTCATAATCATTTTTCCGGGACTTTAAAATCTCGAATAGGGTTCAAATATCTTTATTTAGTCGTATCATGTTTTCTATGAAAACAGTGGCGCTTTTTCAATAATAAATTATTTAAGAAATAAGAAAATAAAGAACAGTCAGTATGCGGAACCCATGACACGCAGCGATATATTCACTTCTGTTAAACAACCAAATTCTTCTAACCCGTTTTACTAACCTAAAAAGATACGAAGACCTCCATGGGTGCGTGGAATAACCAGTATTTAGATTTAAGATAACAATGTCAGGGTCATAAACATACAAATGTGTCCCTATGTCATATTTTTAGGCGCCAATCTTAATTGCGCATACAAATATAATGCGTGAGTAACTTGTGAGTTCTTTTTTTATTATAAAGTATTATGTGAGTCATTTTCTGTTATTAATAATAGTCAGTTTTTACTTCTAAGCTATTTCTATAGAAGTAATGAAATTTTCGTTTAGATATATTACAAAATGCTGCTATTAATGAAAATTACTTCTAAATCCTAATAAGAAATGTGTCTATACTAAAAAGGTCAGTCAGTGGTATACTACTAATTGTATTATTTTGTAAGAAAGGACGTGAGTGGCTCGTTGCAAGAACCATGGCAACTTTTCAGTAAGTAGAACACCGCGAAAGGCTCTGACTGTACAGTACACTTGATAAGTGAAAATCGCGAAATGCAAATCATATAAAATTATATACTGTTAAATTAAAATTATAAAACATTACGCAGTGGAAATGTTTTGTTTCTATGTCCTATAATTGTAACGCATAAACTGATTTCATTATTTCTTTCACAGTTTTAGGGTCTTATTTTATACCGTTTACTATTGTAGATTTTGAAATTTACTCCAAGCACTTTACTAATCTATTTTTGCAAATTTCAATATTAAAGATTCATTTTTAGAAAACGGCTAGGCACAATATTTATAATATATTATCTATGTAATAGTTATCAATGTCATATCGAAACTAAAAAGTTGTTTGCTTACCGCTGTTACATAATTAAATCAAAAACACTCTTTAGCTTTTTAAACACCACAATATTGTTGATGTGACACGTTCTGCACCAATTGTTACACTGACACATTGTTACTCTGTGTTAAACAATGAAGAATTTCAAATTAAAGGATATACTATTGTACAATTAGTCATATTTAACTTAAAAGACCCATTGACGTCATGATCACCTACCTTAATAATTAAAATACGTACATGGAATAAATAATTTTAGATATAAAATGAAACGTGATTCAGTTAGTAACACATTGCAATTCGTTTAGTAATCGACTAGAGTCGAATAAATAATCGATTTTCATATGGTTTATAGATGACAAAAAACAAATAAAGTAACTCAGTACATTTCAGCTAACATAAAAGGTGTTATTTTATCTATAATTATAACTACGAAATTAATATCGTTCCTACCTTTGAATAACGAGATACTTATCCATTTTACGTTCTTGGTACAGTTAATATAACCTTTAATAACACATAATTATAACAATAAAACATATTAAATATTTCTTATTCTACTTTAAATAGCAGAACATAGTTATTTGAAACCACGGTATTTATACTCAAAATCTTTGTTTAAACATCCACACTAGATTAGCAAAAAGGGAAAAAGGCAAAAGATAAGATAACGCAAGCTTAAATCATTTATTTGCTAATTTTATCTATGTGAGCCCTTTAAATAAATAAACTCCCTATTTACGTCGTAGATTCTAAGCAGTAGGTCAAGGTCGGGTTATTGTAAATATTAAAAAAATATTTACTGCACTATAAATAGTTAAACCTTCGAAAGTTTTGTATTAGAGAAGTACAGTTACAGAATAAGTCTAAATACCTATAAATAAATTAACTAGAAAATTACAATGAAATTTACATAAAAAAAAACTAGCTAAAATATAAGATATGTGTGGTGAAGAATTCTTCACTAATCAGCTGCTAATTTAACAGTTCAAATACCCAGTGCAAATATGCGGAGGAACGTAAACAGAATGTACTAAGTTCATACTTACAATGTTTTTTAGTACAATCATACTTAGCTTAATATAAAAAGATTTTCTGTTATTTCGGAAATGAATTGTCGTGATTCGATGGCAACTATTTCTAATACCTGTTGCAGTTGAGGAAGTTAAATTTGTCACTTAAAAATACCGATGCCAATGATATTTTTTATCTAACTATTAATATTTTATGATGATCATAAAAAGCTCAATAAATCTGCATACATATTAAGAAAAGGGAATAGGTATAGGCCACGCCGTAGATGCAAATATTATGGATTGCATAGTGGGCTTAGCTTAAACCATTTTTGGTATGTCTGGTCAACGCATATGTTACAGTGACATAAGACTAAATTTCCATTCTATTTTAAAATACGCTTGAATCCGTAAGTAAGCTTAAATCAGGCTAATTGGTCTGTTTAATAAATATTGTTTGTTTCAGGTGAGTCCAACGTGTATACCCTGGGTACGATCGGCATGCATCGCGTGGTTACCACAAAGCTGCCGTCAGTGGGCCGAACCAGGGAGGCAATGACCGCAGCTGGCAACACCACAACAAGACTGCTCGGAATATTCCAGAAGGTGTGTATAGTCAAAGAATTTAATTCGCTTCCCATTCGGCATCGTACAACAATCGCCATTACTTTTAACACATTTCAATGAAATGGGTAGGAAATAAACGTCCTCGGCGGTATTTTGTGAATACGCTTTACTGTGTGGTGGGCTGAAGAAACGATCTTTATACCCATCTTTAACTTTTTGATTTCGTAATAAAGTTATTTATATTTTAGTGGCTATAATACACCGGTATGTTAGCGTCAAACGCACATTCGTAAGATTTAACTATAGTTATAGGATTGGATTGAATATACGACGAAGAAAATCGGGACTATAAAAATCTGTAGTTGCTATCAGATTTTTTTATTTTTTTGTTAATTACCAATACTTTAAAGTTCTTACAAAGGTTGGCAGTATGTTGTTTAATTAAGTGTAAATTTATGATATAACGGATTAAATATATGTACAACGTAAACTCCATGTCGATATATGATGTCATACATTTAAAATTCTAGTTGAGGGTTATCACGATGTTATCCGTGCTATTTATATAGATTTCCTGTACTGGCCACTGATATCATATATACTCTTATAAATTTCCCACTCGTGACCAAATTAGTCAGGATATGCAAGTCTTAATGGAAAACCGATGATTAGTTTATAAAATAAAAGAGATTTACAAGATAGGGAATAGATGATAAAAGCTAAATGTCCAAACGAATAATAGGCGGCAAGTAAAAGAAAGAAATAGTAAGCTGGGCTTATTATTTTATTAGTTTTGTAACAATCTGATGAATTGTTTTGTAACACAAAGGACAAATAAATATTTGACTATTCTATTAATCTATACAAATATTAAAAAGCGGAAGAGTTTGCTTGTTTGTTTGTTTAAACGCGCTAATCTCAGGAACTACTGGTCCGATTTGAAAAAAAAATTGGCATACATATAGAACATAGTCTGGAAGAACACATAGGCTTCTTATTATGTTTATGCTGCGCGAACGAGTCGCTGGCGACAGCTAGTATTAAAATATAGGGTTACGATGGTCATTATTAAAAATTTACGTTGATTAAAATAGTTTAATTTAAAACGAAACCTTTTTTATGATGATTTACTAAGATATTGAGGAATAGTACTTACATTTTATTACTTTATTTGCACATCTGTTGAATAATAGACAGTATAAGAAGGTCGTTGTTTAAGTGAAACTCTTGGGATTAAGGTGAGCGTGCGACCAAACTTAACAATGCAATGCGGTTATTGTAACTGAATATTCATTCATGTATTATGTATTTTCAGACTGAATGACTATTACTCCCGCGTATGCGTGTCTGGAATTTTTTGACGTCATTAAATGCTGTAATCTCTACTTCAATAATGTATTGGATGAAATTTTTTGATGGTTATAGTCTCCACGATAACTTTATCTGAATAATTAATTGTAAATGTTAGCTTTTACACTGAGTAAACCAAGGAGGTAACTTTTTGTGGTCTTTCCAAATTTGGACCTCAAAGATCCAGCAACCTACAATTGCTGTTTAAACTGAGAGCTGGTTTCAACTAATATAAGTTGCAAATGTACTTCGTCATTGGGATACAAAGGCCCTTTCTCCTATTTAATCGTTTAAGATTTTATCATACCATGGTTATTTTTGTGCTATGTATATGTGATATAAATATATTTATGTTATTTGTAAATTTCCCAATCGTTATGTTAGGAAAACTGGTATTCATTATGCATTACCTGTGTTAATTTTGCCTAACACTAGTCAGTAGTAGTAGTCTAGTAGGTAGATTAGTAATTACATTGTTGCGGTCTGGCGGATGATGTTCGCAGAATTACGTCATGTAAGCTTTTGAAAATGTTCAGCGAATGCTTAATTTGATGGTATAATTATTAATATACAGAAGACATAGTTTGGAGATACTGCATACTTTCAATTTTATTGGTCATCTTGGAATGGCTGTCGCCCGCGACTCCGTCCGCGCGGTATTAAAAAAAAACTTAATCAGTAGTATAAGTGTTCTTCTAGACTGTTCTATATCTATGCCAATTATCATTATTATCAATTTGAAGATACCTTGAAATAAATATCTATCCATCCATCCAAACATTTGCATTTATAATATAATAGGTATTATAAAATCACATTCCCTGACTGTTAATTCGGGGCACATATATAAATATTGATGTATGTACTTTTGTCTATTAAAAGAAGTTGCGCATATGCGACTAACACTTGTGTCCAATTTATCTACATAGTTTCGCTTCAACACAACTAAGATGTATTACAAGTGCCTGGAACATGGCATTAAAATATAAAGCAATGTAAATCAAACGTAATTAATACATTGGAACAAACCAAAACATTTTGTATTTTTACGACTCAGTTTCGATACATAAATCAGTCAGAAATAAGTATGGCAACATAAAGTGCCTCAGACGATTTGGTCCACAGCAATGAAGACACGCTCTTGACCTCGTTTTATTTCATCCGCACAGCGCCACTATGGTGACTTTATTTTATTACATTATTAGGCTTTAAACACAGCAGCTTCTATTTTATTGTAACTAATTACAAAATATACTATATATTTTACATAACTTTAGAGCAGTAGAAAAGAATACACATTGAGGAAGAAAGAGAGCGAAAAGGCATTAAGTTAGTAAATTACTTTTATCCTCTATAAACTCGAATGATATATGCTTAAAACAAATACAGTATAGGCCGTGATCAATCGTTTACACTTTACATATTAACCCTGCCACTCGAAATATGCTAATTCTATATGAGCCGGGTTAAAATAGCCATGCGTTGAATTCCAAAGATACGCTCGCTCTCTGCATAATTTAAATGGAATGTATTGCAAATGGAAATTTATATTTACGAAAGAATTATTGGAATACATTTATACAAGAATGATTTATGATCTCGTTTTGCCGATCGTATACTATGCCAAAAATGTTACACGATGTAACCGCAAATTAGACAATTATGAAGCAGTTAACGACTTGGAACAATTTCAGCTGATTTTACAGTTAATAACAGTGATATGGTTAATTGATAGTTATAGCTGGACAATTTTTAACAGATTTATGTCCATTGTTTTCCTTCGGATGTCCAAGACGCGATACGCGAATGATCACTTTTGTTTTTGATATAATATTACGGAATGTGGCGGTATGACACTTAAAAGCGACAGTCGTTCGAAGACTTTGTATGCAACGTGGAAACAATAACGGTAGGACGTAGTATGTAAATAATCGGTTAGTGGTACACGATTAATTGCTTCTTACTATAGTTAATAGCTATTAAGCCATCGTTTGCACAAATCACTAATTGGTTTATCTCGTTTTAAGCAAGGAGACAAATATTCTGTAAATGGAACACCGAGAAGGGCCCTGATTGTACTATTCATATAGGATTCCTTGTCTCGTAGACCTCTTTTAAATTTACAATGGTTTCGGTGAACATGCATCACATTTTCAACTTATGAAGCCGACATTTTATTTTCCGCCGTTGTCTATTCCTGCAGGGTCTTATATGGACCTCGTGGGTCCAATTACAACTTTAGGACTTGCTGCCCCAGACATGTATGTACCTTTGATTTTTATTTTGCTAATAGTATTTTCTATAATTTCAGGTGGAGTACGTGTTTTTAGTGGGCGTGGGCGGCGGCGTGCCCCACTACACAGATTACTCGCGACACGTGCGACTCGGTGACGTAGTTGTCTCGACGCCGGCGACAGATTTGAATGACAAGTTAGTATGACAATTTATAAAACCTGGGTTTTACACGGGACAACTATCCTATACTATATAGTTAACTCTGTTAATACTTAAATAAAATGACATTTAATCCTTTCAATATCACAACACAATAAGCAAAAACAGCACAAAAATAATTATAAAGAAATAACACATAAAACATAAAATTAATAAGAAACAGGAAATATTTACAAAGAGTGTTGCAATGCCGACCGGATAAGGTTTCACTCAGCTTTGTATGCTGGGTGTTCCTCTCTGGACTACTCAGCGCTGATCTTACGTGAAACCCCATAACGTTACCGCACGCCAGTTACAGCGGTGGAAATTACTTCATACTTAACCTACACTAAGAGACATCCTTAGTGTAGTTTACTAGTTTCAAACGTGTATATTTTCTCAATGTAGACTTGTCATTGAAAAAATTAAAATAAGCTAACAGCTCTTTATATGTTCTTGTTGTAAGATATTTAGCATTAAATTTGAAATGTGTTATTTGAGTTTGTAACATATGTTCTGATATTAACCAGCTGTAATAATAATTACAATCAGCACTATGTAGATATGCAATAATGTACTTAGAAATATACAAGTATTATGATAAGTTGCCATTGTTCATACTCTCAGAATAGCTATACACAAGTGTATCGGATTTGCGGCCTTGTAGTTCCCTTTTTGTATTCGCCAACGTATTAACCATTTTGTAATTTTGCTTTTATTATTTCAAGACTCATTGAGAAAGCTATCTTTTTAATTTATTTTTAATTCGACAATTTTCAAATCTTTAATAAGATCTGGGATGGCAAATTTATATTTTAAATACGTCAAGTAAGTGATGTTCTCGTATTTTTTAACAATCTGACCTTATAACCGAAGACTATTTGTTCGATGAGCTAAATTGACAATAATTAGTTTGAACCTACACGACTCTGCAGTAATCAAATTTAGTGACACCGTGCCTTTAGTATTAGAACTTAAATTTTATCAAAATTAATCTTTAAATATGTGAATAATATCACTATTTAAATATAAAGATGATGCAATCATCAATTTATGATAATATTTTTCCTTAATACAAACGTTAATGTAATCATTTTAAGACATTTGGGAACAGATATAGTTAAATGAGAGCGTCCGTTGCTCAGGGGTCAAACACTTGATTTGCAATCTGTAGGTCCTGGGTTCGAATCCCATCATGTACCAATGTGTTTTTCGATTATCGATTTACATATGTACATTTATCCGAAGTACTTACGGTGAAGCAAAACATCGTGATGCAACCTGCACATATCTGAAAAGAAATTCAAAGATATGTGTGAAATCAACCAACCAGCACTTGGCCAGCGTGATTTAGAGTAGGCTCGAAGCCCCTCGGTGGGGACGTATAGTGAAGCTGATGATGAATGAATAAATGAATGAAGTAGTAAAATTATTTTGTTAACTTTTAGCGGATCTAGCTAAAGTCCAGTTAGATCTGGGCTGATGACAATACTGGAATTCTAAAACAACCATGTGATTGGATGTCTGTATCGTTAACCATTGGACTATTTAAATATGACAATCGACAATTTGAACAATCAAATATTCTTAGTAATATTATAAATATGATTAAGATGCATGGACGGATCTTAATCAAATTGGGCACAGATATAGAACATAGTCTAAAAGAACACTGCTTATTTGTTTTATTTTTTTAATTCCGCGCGAACGGTGTCGAGGGCAACAGCTAGTTACAATATTTGAATGTTTTTACAGGTATGTTTACATTTTCTGTGAGAAAGCAGAACGTAATGACAAAGGTGGATGGGATTATGAAGTGAAACCGTATAAACCGGCCAATTTCCTGCTTCAAGACATCGCGCTACGTCTAATGAAGACTGAAGCATCTTTCAGCTTGTATGTTAACGAAGGTAAACAATCATTAAAAACTGACACTTTTATTAACAAGGAATTTTAAATTTGGGTTAATCTATCGTAATATTATAAAGAGGAAAGATGTGTTTGTTTGGCTCCGAAACTACTATACTGTTTTGAAAATCCTTCGCTGTTGAGAAGCTTCAGTAACCAGGATGACATAGGTTATGTTACGAGAAATTAGTTAGTCGGAAAAATAATACAAAAATTGTGTCTCAACATGTTACAGAATATCAAGGTATTTAAAACATCATAGAAAAGACAATTTTAATTGTTGAAATCAGTTTTTAAAATGTTTCTTTAACACATTACTAAAGCACTTGAGGTATGATTTTTTTCTTTAATTTTGTAGTAAAAAAGGTGTTTTATATTTTTGGTAACAGGTCTGCAGCGGCTGCGCGGAGTGCCGGGTCGCTGGGAGGCTCCGGAGGACGCCACTGACCGGCTCAGTGTTGACGTCGGTGATGGCGTCTTCATTGAGGTGTCGCATCCCGCGCCACAGGGACACCACAGGTAACACATCTATGCTATCTTAGTACTTCAACGTTAATTCTTATTATTACTTTAAGAAAATTTTATTTATAACGAATAAAATAGTGCTTAACCACAAACCCACCTGATAGTAATATTATTAAATGAAATATAGAGTATCATGAAATCTTGTTATATTTTAATGTAATACATATTTAAAATTTATTTTTTAGTTTTTATTATTATTTTATTTGAATTTTTATGCACTATATTATCCCGAATTTGGATAAACATTTAGAAAATGGTGACACATTTAAGCGTGAAACGTAAGATAGTATAAGTAATATGTACGTGCGTGTGCAGCCGCAGCCGCGTGCACTGCGCGCCGGTGTGCGGGGGGCGCGCGGTGGCGGGCGGGGGCGAGGCGCGCGCCGCGTTCGCCGCACACGCCCGCGCCCGCGCATACGACTGCGAGCTCGACGCCGTGCTCGACAGCGTCGTAGGCAACTGCAAGGACTGCTTCATATCCATCAGAGGTATACAACTATTCATATATCACATCTCTCAACAAACACTACTTTATCTATAATAGCTTTCATCATACCTCTCTGCTCCACATTCTAATCGGAGAATTTCACTGGTTTAACAATATTGTGAAAAACGTTCTTTTGCTTACTATAGATGTAGAAAAAAAAGATGTCTCAAATTTATTTTTGCAAATTTCAGTCAAAATACGCAAAAATCTATTTTATAATTACGTAAAACAGTTTACAAATAACAAACCACATACAGGCAGGCCATAAGCTGTGATATTTTGTGCCTATTGGATTTTAACCAAAATTATGAAAACCTTACTGGCAGATACTCAGTCATAACATTCTTTTATAGAAAATATTTCGAAGTGAATTGATGAATGTAATTTTTGTGTCTGCATCAAATTTCTACTGACGCGACCCTTGCTTTAGATGGCTGAGAGCAGTCATTCGTCCACCAAGTGGAAAAATATATTTATAGTTTTGTCACGTGATATCTCCAGGTATATCAGACTACCGCGACGGTACACGCGGCAAGGAGTGGCAGGCGCACGCCGCGCTCGCAGCCGCAGCCGTGATGAAGGCCATCATTGTCGCCATGGACCCTCCAACAGACTAAAATCCCACGCAACAAGCATATCATTAGCACCCCCTAGATTAAACACGAACGGCACTACACCTTGTTTCCTTCATTTACAACTTAGTTGTAGGTATTTATATTTAAAAACAACGATTTTTTAATATATCGGTTGCATAGAAAATTTCAAAGTAAAAACTTGCAAAGAACTCTATTGGCTATGAGTTCAGTGTTGACATTAAAAAACAACTGTTAAAGTCTTTAACTTATACAATATTTTATTATATACATATTTATATATTTCCCATATACATGTATATCCTAATTTGTTACTTTATACATTGTTGTAATATTTAAAATATATAATAACCTGAAAAAGATGTTGGAAGCGAAAGTCAGTTCTAGATTCGTAAAGCAAGATGACGTTTTAAAACAAGATTATTTGTCAAACCTATTTTTAGGAAAAAAAAATATCGCTTGAATGTGTTCTGGATACTGTTTTGTTCCATTTTTCAATGTGTAATAACATAAGTACAATCGTTATTTTTCCTTATATAAATGGAACGTCTTAAAACCCTTTATCCACTGGCGCGACCAGACGCACTGCTAGTCGCTTAATATTGTACTTTGTTGTTACAATTATCAAAATTTACAGATTTTCTCAGTTGGTTAAAAAGGGAAAATATTTGAATATTAATTTTAACATAAATAAATTGAAGGCTGCAAACTTATTTACCAGTTTTTTGTACCAACAATTTAGTTTAAACAAGGGCCCAATATCGTTGAAAAATGTTATTTATCTCCACATGTTAGTAACTTATTGAATTTAATGATATACAGTGCACTCTATATAACGTCAAGGGACCGTACATTTTGCGACGTTATAACGAGTGGGCGTTATACAGAGTTACATTGTAATTAGAATGTTATAAATACGACTTCACTTGCCTTATAGACGGCTGTTACAGCGTATTGTTATAGGAAATGTTCATTATTAATAAGATTTATTTACACCATTTAGATTGTAGTCGAATTTAAACGTAGTGAGATGACATTCGTTATGACATTTAATGCTTTTTTAATTATATTTATTTAATGTTGCTGTTATTTTACACTTTTTTTAAGTACATTTTGGTATGAATTTCTACAAACATTTGTGTATGTGAATTACATGGTCTATTTGTATGTAATATTTTGACAGGTTTTATGTTGCGGCTTGAAAGGTAAGGCATCTTTTCAAAAACATGTCATAAAGTTTTAGGTTTTTTTTTTGCGACCAAAAATATTGATGATATATTATCGGTGTAATGCATAGAAAAACTTTTTCAAGGTAAACCACAATGTTAGTCATAGTCATATGGGCTCAAATCAGTCTTCCTATAAATAATTTTCAGATAACGTTCACTTATAATTTTTTTTAAACTAGGTTGTGATATTACATCCATTTTAAGTTTGCCTTCCGACCAATAGTTGAGAATCCTACTTTTTTAATGCTAACAGGTTTTTCTAAGATTTTGATGATTTTTCATTGTTGAAACGAAATATATTGTCTCTGGTTTATACAAAGATAATAAGAGATTAAACTATGTTTTAAACGGTAACTTAGCATTTGGTAAACCGTTTGTGCCTTTGACCTTTTAATGTGTTCCAGTCTGCCTTTCGATTTATTGAGTACATTTCGATTTTTTTAATAAATCCAATAAATTAAATTTTACCTTACAAATGTTACAAATGATAAAATAACTATTATTCCAGGAATTGACTAATTTAAGCATAATTATATTTTATTATTAACCTCCACTATAAAGTTTAAATTGTTTGCGTATAACCTAAGTATGTTGTTATTTGACCGATATTTATGAAAAATTATCAACTTTTGATAAAAATCAATTATCATGTAAGTTGATTTGATATTTTAATCTGTGGTAATTAATGCCATAATTTGATGATATTAGATTTCGTAAAAAAAAGTTACCAAATATTATTGCATAAGATGTGGCAACTCCAAAAATGTTGCCATATCAATTGATCAGTGATCCTTTACAAGATTGAGTTGTTGAGGGTATTTATTATAACAATTTATTCGCTTTAGAAGCATTTTATTATAGTAATTATTTATAGTAAAATATTATTCACTGCCATTGACGGCCTATTTTATAGATCACTCTAGTATTTTAAACCAAAGTTAAAAATTCCGTAAAAAATTTAAACAGGCCTAGTCGCCTTAGATTAACAGTTTGTAATAACCATACTTAAATAAGCTGGCATAAAATGAAAAATTATAACTTTAAAAACCAAAAACCCCGCTGACTTTTTGCCACTCAGAAAACGTTTGCTAACCGAATGATTTCTCAGTCTTCAAAATAGGTCCCAACTTACAAACCGTTATACTCAAAAACCAGCCCTCTTGACTTACTCGGGTCAAAAAGACACACTCCAGAGTAGGTATTTTGTCTCGCGAGAACTTATAATAAACAGAAGCAAAAGAAATCAATGATTGGCCTGTGCCAATATACTATACCTGCCAGGTTCCTGTTAACCTGAAAAGCTCGGTCGTTTTATCAGCTTCCGCTTTATGTCTAGTAGAAGCATTTTTTAAAATAATTACCAAGGGGTATATAATACATAAAATTATAATTTTACACGCTATTTTCATTTTTTCCGGGACTTCCCCGTATGTTAATGAAAGCAGTTTCCCATCTAATGACTAATTTTGAGGTTTCATAAACCTCGAGTAAGTGAGTGTTTGAGACCTAATGAATCTAAGATTCTTGAATCTGGTGAATGAATTATAAAGTGTTTATAATGAAAGCATTTCAAGATATACAAATCTCACGCGAGAGGTTAATATGCGTAAAATAGGTCTTGTAAAAATATAAAAATGTTCATTTTGCCGACGTTCTTGATATTGCCAGTTTATTTTAGTATGTGTCTTAAAATAGTGTTTTTGATTCATTGTAGTTTCCTTGGATTACTAGAAAACGAATTAGAAACAATAAATGTCTGACATTTTAAAATTCATTTTAACTATTTCTTAGTAATTATTGCAGATTATTTAATAATATATTTAAATATAGTTGTTTTACATGTCATGTATTTGTAGTTTATATCGTATTTATACTAAAAGGGGAAACCCTATGGAACGAATCATAATTCATATGTTCTTTCCTTAATTGCTTTTATTACTTTGAGCTTTGTTTTGTAATAGCACATGTGTATTATGTATATCTATTTAATTGCGAGTTCAAATAAATTATTATACTCATTAAAACTTTTATTTATAACTACCCCATGACAATCTAAAACAAAATTGTGATTTTATTAACCGTTAATTTCCACTATCGTGAAATTTGTGTTTGATTCTATTTTAAACGACTTTCATCGTGTACGTATTTAAAGCCGGCTACACACCTTCAGTTTTAGCTGGACAGACGGATTGTATCATTAAAACTTATGAATAAGGCAAAAAATAGTTTAACTGAAAGTGTTTAGCTGGCTTAACTTGGTAACGTATGACTTTAATTCGTAGACCTACGGAGTCCCTTTCTATCCAGCACCCTAGGCCTTCGCGTAACTGCGCCCTACTGCCGGTTCTGTGTGTCAGTACAAATTTCATTGTGGAATATTACAGTTGCCATGACAATGACTGTCCAACTTCCATTTTTTATTCAGAAATTATGATTAATTGAACGGATTCCTGTGGTTGTGACAAATTTATGTTCAATCCCAGTTTTTATCGTGTGCCACCTAGTTTTCTTATCTACTTATATCAATAACACTGTCATGAAATACGTCAATGATTGACGTTGATCCGTTGAATGCGTTGTAAGTTTTCATCTTAAATTTTAATGATTCAGATTCAAGTTTTTATTGTTGTTACCTTTTCTAATTACATTGAACATAAATTACAAATTATTTTATTATGCACATATTATATTTTTACATTCAATAAAATATCGGAAAAATATAATATCCATCTTTTTTATTATGGGTTTATATTAAATTAAAAAAAAAAGAAATTGCAATAACATTTTATTATAGCATTATTTGAATCATAAATAATTTACTTAAATTACTAATATAAATAACGGACCAGCCGCAAATAGAAGCTTAAATGTTACTTGACTAGAATACAACTGTGTGTTTTCACTGCCTGTACAAAATATCATTTTCATCTCTCGCCATTTAGTGCAAACAACCCCGCTTTAGTTATTCGCCTTCAGAAAATAACATATCTTTGTTCAGGCGTTTAAGCAATGAAAACACACGGTACTTTCATGTACATGTCAACAAAACAAGTTTTTAATTTTGTCGCACATGTAGTATTAACCACTAAATTACGATAAATTTATTGTCATAATTATTAAATTATATCACTAATGACTAGTACTTAAAAGGCGTACGTGAGTATTGCGAGAGAAACTTGAAAGACGTATAAGATTCTACATTTTTTATGGTTTCAGTCGTCGAGTACTATTATGACTCAAATGGCAATAATAGATCGGAAAATTCACCCTACACGATTTTTATAGCAAAGATAAGTTTTCAACGTTTTATATAGATTGCAATGAATGTACACCAGGCACTTAATAAACAAAATTTTAAGATAAGTTTCTAATCGTCGCGCACATGAATTTAGAACTGGTATTCTTACAAGTTTTTGATAAAACTTTTAGCATTTAAATCTTAATTAAAACATAATTGTTGATAAGTAAACGATACAAACAATTATTAAATTGTTTTTTGTTATCGTCTGTTGGAAATATAAAAAAGGTATATATGCCCTTGATTTACTTGGTATTCTTGACCGATGTGCCGACGTCAATCTTTGAGTTTTCTGTCGTTATAATGAGTTCCTTTTCAATATTCGTATTGGAAGAGAAGGCTGCTTATGCTATTCGCGCCTTTCACTATAATTTTATGAACAGTTTCGAAGTTTCCCGACAAACATTGTAAAGGTAGTGGACCGGAATTATCAACGTTTAATTCGAAGTTTATCGAATACTCATCCGCGTAAAGCTTCGGTTCTATATGCAGTACAAATTTTACGGGCCCTGAAATATAAAAAAGGTTTTAGTTATTTCTTTATTAATAAAAAGTTTAACACTAGTATTATTTTTTTTATATTGGAATACTTTTTGAATAAAGTTTCGCTGCCAAACTTTTTTTACAGCAGTATGAGTAACGTGCTAGTGGGTAAACATAGTTGCCATTAAGGGAGATTGGAAAAGAGAAGAAATGAAGAGAGTAAATTAGTGTTCTCGCTTCTCCTCGGACGCACAAGTCGAGTACACCATCATTTAAGTGCATGAAATAAAATATGATAAATTAGCTGTTACCGGAGACTCCGTCCGCGCGGAATTAAAAAAAAAACAAACTTAATGAGTATGTGTTCTTTTAGACTTGTTCTACATTTGTGCTAAGTTTCATCAAGATCGTTCCGGAGATACCTTTAAACAAACATCCATCCATCTAAACATTATCATTTATAATAAGAGTAAGAAGTATGATTACTATTACTTACTTATAGATTCTGAAACTTCATAAGTCTCGGTTATTACTTTCTGGTCCTTTGAAATCATAGAAATTATTTTTGCAGATGTATTGTAGTTTAACACACATATGCGATTCCCTCCTTTGTCTGACAACGTCACAGTTAAACTAAAATACAAAATAACAGAAAATGTATTAAAATACAATATGAAATTACATATTTATTATTTTATTGCATCTGTCTTTGATAATTTTATATTGACCGCATGTTAATTTTGGTCCAAAAACACAGAAATGTACGAAAAAGTACATTGCTCCTTAAGAAGTTACTTCATTTGTTTTTATTTATCTGGCCTGTGAATTTCAAACTTTTGACAGGCTTTTATTTAACGTTAGTTTTTCACGTGAAAGAAAAATATAGCTGCGGTTAGTTGCCATGGTTACCATATGTAGTGTTTTAAGATATCGTTTGACATTTTAATTATTGTCTTAACGGAAAAGACGACATTTTGCCATTTAAACATTTTGACAAATTATCTGGTAAATAAATATATATATAAAAGTTTAATATAGTGTTAGATAATATTGTATACCAACGTGCTTGTCGTTAAAGACGTGACTATTGTTCAATTATTTTTAAAATATTTACAAACAAATATTTTTTACTATTTGTTTTAAACAGAACATTTTACAATATGTATTTACATTAATTTCTATAAGAATCGTCACTCAGTGTCTTTTTCAGAGATCCAAACCTATTCATTTCTGTGTTGATCTGGGAAATATATAGATTAACCATTCCCTATTAGTATGTTGGGCACGTGCTCATTAAGACAAATTATAAGAGTTGTTTATTAAAACAAAAATTGAACAAAATTACTGTGGTTTAATAAAGTAAAATCAGTAAATTTACTTACAAATTATTCTGTGTTGTTACAGTTCCATTAATCGTTATCGCCGTGTCACTTGAAAGAGGTTTTGGGAGCTTAAATCCTGTACTACCCTTTATAGGTAGCGTAACACTGTCACGATGGAAACTAAATAGCACTACAAAAAATATTAAATACGAAAACTTCATTTTGTCACGAAAAAATAAATTTTAAAAATACCAATCACAACACAAAAACACGCGACAAATTCAAATGATCGTTTGATTTAAACGATCGTCTTGCGCTACCTAACAGTAGCGAACTAAACACACTTATGATTGAATTCATGCTTGTAAATCCTTTTTAATCAATAAACTGAGTCATTATAATGACATAAATTGTTACAAAATCACACGTCACAACACTTTACAAGGATTCTATATGGCTTGCGCACATAAATTTCCTTGTCTTGATAGGTCTGAGGTCGTTATAGTCCTTTGAGTTTCTTTCATTTTATAAAACACAGATATCACAATATGAACTTTAAACTGACTTGCTAAGATACATCTCACAAAAATAATAGCAATATTTGAGAAACTTCAAATCATTACTTTCATTGCTATTTGGGTTCCCGGTAAATCAAAACTTTAAAAAATATAGGGTGAATAGGATAGTACTACTACTACTATACTATTTATCCCTATTTAAATACATTTTTAGCATTTGATTAACAAAATAAAAGTAAAGTACCGTATAGAAATAATGAGTTTGTTACATATTTACACATGTAAATGATTTCATTAACGTACCTGTCCGACCATATTCTCCACTACATTTATAATCCACTCGCGAAGCTTGTTATCTTCACATAATATAATTGATAAATTGCTATATTTATTTTTCTAATAACTTCGAAATAACTATTATAACCCGCACTTGGCCAGCGTGGTTGACTATGGCCTATTCACCCTTAACTTAGGGTAGGCTCCGAGCCCCTCTGTGGGGACGTATAGTGAGCTGATGATGATGAACTATTATAAGCACCAGATTACACGTTTATTTAACGAACACTAAGAGACTATTGTTATTGCTACGATAAGGGTAGTTTAAATTTGAACCTGCCAATTATAATTTCAAAGATTGTACATTTACGATGATAATGAATAAAAAAATAACCTATTGACTCTATTCGAGTTAATGAGTTATCACAATATAAAATGCATGAGCCATCCCAAGTCTGAATATAAATCGTAAAAAAACAAAAGCTCGTAAATAGAGTTGTAGAAACAATAGGAAAAATATATCTTTCAGACAACTAGGCAAACAGAGAGTTAAGAATAGAAATATTTTTAATTCAATTCTTTTATACACCCGATGAACAAGCAAGGATATAACAATTATTATCGATATATCATTTGAGCGTAATTACTGATAAGTTAAAAGACGTTTGTGGTCACATTTAATACTTAAACTATTTAATGATACGTAAAAATAAATTTTATAACAAATAGACGCAAAAACGGTGTTCCACAAAATATATCTTACTAATATTATAAATGCGATTGTTTGAATGGATAGATGCATGTTTGTTTGAAGGTATTTTCAGAAAGACTGAGTATCTCGCGAACAGAGTCACGGGCGACAGCTAGTTTATAATATTTCCAAAAAGACATTGCATGATTACGTATTACGAAATTTACACGATTTTATAATACATTTTATGCCTTTCTAAGGTAATTTAGTATTTAAAATAAATGAATCGCTTTAAATGTAGATTTTTAATTTAAAAACTTTTACAAAGATCTACAGCACCATAAATCCACGTGCGGTTAGACACGTCACTTGGCGCTTAAGGACCTTATACGGAAAATATCTAGTTTTATATATGTTTACTTCTCATAAAATACCATGTGCATATAATTTATCAAAAGGTTCATTCAATGAATTCGAGTTATAAATAAAGCATTTAACACGTAACACGTCTAAAAACAATACGTTTATCCTTGTTCATCTGAAATTTGTTAGCATTTATAAGAAATGTTTGTAGCACATTTAATTTACGCATTAACTAAAAATATTTCATTAAGGATTATAAAATATATTAATTAGGTATAATGATATGCTATATGAGGTAGTTATCAATGAAGATTTCATCAACAAGATATTTAAACTAAAGATCATTAAGTTTAAGCATTTTTCTACGTTAAAGTATATTGCCATACTATAATTTTGTTGTAATTTCAAATTCACTAACATTTTGCGTACGGAAATATTATACCCATAATAATATTACATAACGTATTCATTCGCCTTTGTATCCATTATGGTTTACACTATGCCAGTACAGTAGGAGAGTAGCGCTGCCTTGGCTTACTGGCGCCTGTAGGTGTATACATTATACCAGTTTTGTGCCAACTGTGTAAAAAAGGCCAGTAGGAACTGTACTGGCATAATTTAAACCAGGCATTAAAGTTTGAAAACCCAGAACTTTACCATAGATAGTGCTGAATGTGATATTTGATATGATTTTTTTTATTATAGTATTTTACAATTAGTGAAATAAGAAATTTGTCAAATTATTAAATAAATTCTGAGTCATGAGAAATTCCAACTTCGACTATTATACATAGCTCACCATACTATACGTGTGGTTATTACTAACACCCGGGGGCAAAGGACAAAATTGCATTTAGAAAAAGAAAAACCCCGTTAACGAACCTGTGTGGTGCTATTCACCTTTATTGGTCATAATTCTACAGGTAAAGTGTAATAAGTTTAGTCCCCTTAAGGATAGAAATAAATTAAATGTATTTATGCAACCGATACGTAATTAGTGATTAATACTTCCACCTAATACTACACAAAATAATATAACTTTTTTCATATTTTTTTATATGGTTAAATAGAAGAAAACAACCGCTCGACATTGTGTTGATCACACATACTAAAATGTTTTAAAAATTATATCATTTATCAAAAAACATTACCAAAAACAATAATAAAACAAGCAATAGTAAATTCACGATAGTATATATTTAAACAGGAATGTTTTCAAAACTTTTGTTTCCTTTACGATACATAGACGATAGTCTATGCAACTTCTGATGAAGCATTGCAGTAGTCCAACTTACTAAAATTCTCCACACTAAAGTAATAACAAAAATTTTAGTAAATAAAACTAAGAAGTAAGAATCTCAAGCAATCATTAAAAACAATTAATTATTAATCTCACAAACTTATTATATTAGCTCAGAAGCGATTAGCGCATCTAAAATATGTTTTTCATATATATTTGAAAATCTTGATACTTACATGTTTAAAAATGTTCATTCTGAAAAAACAAGATATAAAAATTAAATGGTACTTCTAACATAAAATAATAAAAACAAAATAGGTCTTAGTTTAGTTCACCCCCATAAATGTATAAAATGTGTGTTAGTAATCTACAAAATCATCGCTTTACAAGATTAAGAAATTATTTTAAATAAACTTCTATGGGTTTGAAATTCTTCTTGAAATAAAACTAATATTTATCATAAACATTTCTTTATTTCTAACTAGTGTATGAATTTTCCTAGTATTAATTAATAAATGGTCCTATAGTTGAATAATTTGTATTGTTACTACACATTAGAACTTTCAATAAATAAACATGACTAACATATGTTTTATCATATTAATCACACACATGTATTTTCGAAGATTATTCCAAATATTTGTGAAGGTTAGCAAATGTGCACATCTAGCAATAACCGTATTTAAGTGCGCTATTGATGTAGCAAATATTTTTATAAACCTATGATGTTAACCCTTTTATTGAATTTAACTTGAACATAAAAATGTTGGTATTACTGGAGAGTGAACACTTCAAATTGCTGTATATAAAACCTGCCAGGTTAGACAAAGTGCATTCCCTACGAAGCAATTTCATAACAAACTTCAAAAATTTATATAACGGACCATATCTTTCGATAAGTTTCATGATTGTCGCTTGTCAGTTCCATACAGTTTTGAAGTTTGTTAAGAAATTGATTCATAGCGAATGCACTTTGTCTAACCACACAGATCTTTTATTATGTTCAAGTTAAAAAGATTACATAATTCTGCAATTAATATTTCCTCAAAATGCCTTTAACAATTTGTGCATAAACTTATAAGACATTTTAAAATTCAATATTGTTACAATATTTGTTACATCAAAATTTTTAATTATCACAACACTCATTGGTTAGTAAGACAAATTGTTGATAGAAAAGCACAATCATAATTAGTACAAGATACAAACACAAAAGCTAATGTTTAAAATTGTTACTTGCATCAGTCTTAGGCGAGTTGGATGCTTGGCCACATATGCTATTGTTGGTCTTCTACAAGTTTATAAAAAAATATTGTCACAAATATCAGCAATTACAAATTTAACCAAGCCAATGAAAAAAGTTATGAAATCTTTTAAGACATATAATCTTTTTCATCAGATGGGTTTTTGTTTACTTTTTGTTATTAGCTAATAAAGTTTTGCATCTATTTTTTATTACATTTTTGAGATTTATGAGCAAATCAGATCACATTTTACATGCTTAGAGTTTAAAAAAAATATTTTATTTTATTAATTTAACAAATTTAATCATAATGATAAAATTAGGACATTATTACTCACCAACATATTTAACTTCATCAAAGGCCTTTCTAGCTTTCTTCAACTCTTCATTCATAGTAAGCAAGTCTTTGACCCTAGCATATTTCCTAGGGTCTTTGCGGACTAAGAATATTATATCTTCTACTTGCACTCTGCCTGGTCTACCCACCTCCATTGCTCTGAAAATTTAGTTCATTTACATGTTACTTTTTTAATCTTTCAAGACACAGAAAATGGAACCAAAAGAATTCTACAGCTTTTGTCCCATGGTGTTTCAGTGGTTAATACAAAAAAGTTAAGATGAAATAATAATGTTCCCTCTTCTAAAACTTCAAAGTAAATGGTGTAGGATAGTTATAGGTTTAAATAACTAATGAAGAAAAAATATTGAATAAAAATACTCAAGTTTTATAAATTTATTGTTGTTTTTCACATATCCATTGTATTACGATTTGCGATAACTTTCTTTGCTTAGTTGTTAACCATGCAGGTAATGTTAAATTTTTGTTTACATTATGGAATCTGGTAGGTATAATAATAATGATAAACACTTATAATGCAATGCTTACTTATGTGTGGTTTCCGTAATGAATTCAATTACAAGATCTTCTAAGAAATCTACACTCTCCGTATAAGGATTCTGGTCGTCTCCAAATCCATACATCATACAACGGAGTTCTTTACTAAACAACCTTTTCCTGCCCGACGCAGTTGCCCCGAGCTGCTGTTCATTCTCCTCGTCTTCGAACTGTAAAATAATGCATAACATGACTTTCTTTCGTACTTACGGTTAACACCATGAGTAGATTGTTTCGATCTCAATACGATATTACCTGATCAAACTGATCAGGAGTGTCCGGTGTCGGAGTGACCATTATTTTATTCTACTGTACTTTCTCTTCACAAATAAATGAGGGGCACTTATTTATTCTGGAATTTTCATAATCACAATCACAATGCTAAATAAACAAAAACAAACGTAATTTATCTACGTGACAATTGATGAATAATGTTGCAATATGAAAATTGAAAATAAAGCAAATGAACTTACACAGATAATACCTACCTACATTTGAAAGTTTTATTTGCTTTCGCTATTTACTCTTTGAAATTTGTGACATTGACAGAAAAATGTCAAGCAGGTCAACAACAACAATAATTGTTAATTGCCAAATATTGTGATATGGTTTGGTATTTAGTTATATATTTATACTAGTCACGTTCGTACACTAAAACTCCGGTTTGAAGAAGTATAATATGCAGGATTTTATGAAGTTTTGATTCCAAAGAACTTAAAAAAAAATAGGTTGAGTGTGCATCACCATGAATCCCATGACGTAGGTTTATTTAACAGCTACTATAATTTAACTTTATTTTTACCGCTCATTTAATTTTATCCTAAACTTTATTTATTTATACCAACATGAAACTTATTCTTGAAAACGTCACTTGTGCGGTTAATTATTTATTACTAGGTATAAAAATTATGTTAACATTTTGTTTATTATTTCAGAAATGTTAAGAATGTGTTGAAATTGAGTGAGAGGGAACTGACTGGTAACTCTAAGACATCATGGCATGACCAGTACAAGGACAGCGCTTGGATATTTATCGGTGGTATGCCTTATGATTTAACAGAGGGTGATGTCATTTGTGTATTTTCTCAGTAAGTGTAATCAATTTTTTTTATTCCATTTTCAAACAAATCCTATATATTTTACTGTATTATCTTTTAAAAACTTATTTTTGCTATTAATGTTATAAAACTATATTACAGGTACGGTGAAATTGTTAATATCAATTTAGTAAGGGATAAGGCTACTGGTAGATCAAGAGGATTTGCTTTTCTTTGTTATGAAGATCAGCGGTCAACCATATTAGCTGTAGATAATCTCAATGGAATTAAGGTATGGTAAATACCTAAACTGATGCTAAGAGATATTGGATGCAACAAGCATCCAAGTAGTTATTTTTTTGTTTTAATTTAGTAACTACATGATACTTTATATTAAAATTTTATTGCAGATTCTTAATAGAACAATTCGTGTTGACCATTGTGAGCAATATCGGGCTCCTAATGCTGACATGTCAAAAGTTGATGAATTGACAGCTGCAGTGAGGGCTGAAGGATGTGCTCCAGTTGCACCTAAGTTAGAAGTGGATACTAAAATTGTTAAGCAGGTAAAACTTTATATCTGTATAATATTTGTAGCATATTCATGCCCAATATTCTCTGATCTCTAATGTGTTATTGAGAAGTTTTTAAAACAACATTAAGTATAATTGTTTAGAAACATTAGATTAAAATGTTATATGTTTTAGGAAAAAGAACATAAGGAGAAGAAAAGGAAGCACAAAGAGAAAAAGAGCAAAAAGAAAAAGAAGAAGAAAAGTAAGAAATCTGAAAGTGATAGTGATTCAAGTGACTAAATCAATTATTAATAATTTCTATGAATAATAAAATATCGACATATGTTTTTTTTATTTTCATTAGAATCAATAATGACTAGCAAATCTGAAATACAAATATGACATGTAAGATATATAGTTTAATTCTAAATTATTACACAGATAAACTTTTAGAATTATATGTTGATTAATTAATAATATAATTAAATTGTAGACAAGAGATCAAGATATCAGGTACACAATGACAATAAATAACAGGATATGAAGATATTAACTTCATAATATCAAACAAATAACTATAAAAAAGTCTAAATTAATAATATGATCATTTAAAATGCAAAGCAATTATAGAACAATCAATGCAGAATATATTATAATATAAACAAAGTAACAAAGACTAATCTTATGGGTTTTTATGGTAATCATGGTAATAAATAAGGATATTTTGTGTGCAAAAAAGTAATATTTAGTGCATTTCCCATTGTTTAAATTAAACATTTACTTTAATAACTTTTTTTAACTTAGAGTATTTAGTATCTTTTGAAGAGTATCATTATCAGCATAAGCAATAATGCCTTCGGAGTTGCAATATTCTTTTGGCTCAAGACCACTACCATCATTGTATATTATTGGTTTATGGGTGGTATAACTTATTAGTCCTCCACCTCTTGCATTTAATATTGCATGTGGTCCGCATGTGTCCCAGCGGAAAGTTGTCCCTTTTGAAACTATATAACCTGCTGCTTCACCTGGAAAAAATAAAACCTAAACTTTTATTGAAGTGGTTAAAAACATTAGCTATTGCCTTTAACTGATGCTCAGTGAAATTGCTCTAAAAAACTTTAAATAGTTGTGGTTATTGTTGAAGTAACTCAACTTTAACTTTCTCCAGGGTTTTTGTTAGCTTTTTTAAATTAAAAGCAAGTTCTACATACCTAATGCTACCTTTAGTAGTTTGTGACCTGCACCTGGAACTGAAATCACTTCAAACCCAGAATTTTTAATTTTTTCCACAATATCTGGCTTCTCAGCTCCACTTATAAGTATTGTGTTATGTCCAAAGTCAACTTCTCTGTCACCAACATAACATTTCTTGACACCTTCATAGTTAACTCCCCATATTATTCTACCTTTTCCACTGAAACATAAGAAGTACGTGTGTTTACACAATATTTTTCACTCACTTAGTATAATCTAAAAAATGTAATAATATTAAAGTAAAATACATAAGAGAGAGAAAAATTACACTTACCCATTATAAAATGGCTGATTGATAACACCAACTACTGGTTCACCTGATGATCTTAAATAAGCTCCGATTAAAACTGTGACACAAGGAAGACCATGGCTAGCATTTGCCTCTCCTCGCACACCAGCTATGAACTCAGCTGTAGCATCTAGTAAAAAATCAATTATGTGAATTTCATTTGTAATTAGACTTGGCAGTATTACGTATAAGATTACCTATTGGGTCAATCCATACTCCTAAATTGTCTGTATCCAATGTAAGCATTTCAGGTAAATCAAGGCATATAGTGTTTATTTCACCATGAACAGATTTAGCCATCCGGTTTGCCGTAGACATTGGTATTAAGGAACTGAGTAACTTAGCCGTCTCTTCTTGGGATTTCTGAATAGCAATGGTCACTCCATTAATCTCATTACATTCTTCACCTCTTACATATTCTGCAAGTTCAGGTAAATATGAGGCGATTTCCACTTTAGCACATTCCTGAGCTAAAACGTCGGCAATTGTTTTAAAATCTCGTTCGAATCGAATGTTTGCATCGGTTTCGCATTTTTCAGCAACCAGCAATGTATCCCCAGAGGATTCAGTACAGGATCGGGCAATGCAAGCAGCTCTCTCCGACGCATTTATAAGTGCTTTTAAAATCTTCGACATTTCTATTCTTATTTTTTTATTTAAAAATATAAATAATTACTTTTAAAAAAATAATATGGATATGTTGTACAAATATATGGATTAGAGATATGATATTAGTAGAGCAAAACTGCCCTAGTAAAACAACGGATAATCTAATTTAACAATAATTACATGCACTGTTTACTTTGAAACTTCAGTTTCAGGTTTATCTGCATTTTTGACATTGATTTGTTTTAATTTTATGACCAGGTAACATAGACCTTTCGGTCATATCTTATTTGGTTTGACATATTGACAAGGTAATGCTTTGGCAAGTAACATGGCTATATTTTTTCCCTGTTCTACAAGGTAATTTAATTTTAATAAGATATGTTAACTCAAACATCATTCTCCCTTCATTTATACAATTTCAAACATTTGATATTTTCAGTTGTTTTTGTATGCTCTGGCAACTCTGATCTGCCAAAATTGGCGCAAAAATTCGAACGAGGTCATGATTGCCTACTTTTTATTGTCTACTTGCTGGTCACTAGCGACAATAATGTTATACATTACTTTGTATAATATAGGGTATTGATTTTTTACGAAATGTATTATAAAAACTGGACGTGCTATTTATAAAGAAGCTAAGAAGTAACTTCCTACAAAATCTTGGTATTAAAAATTCAAGCAGAAGATGAAATATCTTGTGCTGTTCATTTCATGATTTCTTGTAATATTTAGTTGCGAAAACTGTTGATTTTCATACTATTATGTATTATTTGTTTTTAAAACATTATTATTGCAGCAAACAGTTAGTCAAGACAGTCGTCCCAGCTTTTTAAAATAAAACGATGTTGGAATTATTATACCTAGTAATAAAAACATAAATAATTGTTAATAAAATAATTTATGACTATGAGGTATTCAGGTTTTATATTAACCGTCACATGAATCATGGTGTCATCGGTATTGTGGCTTTAAACAATAAAGAAGTAAAATCTCTAATAGTATAGCGCAGACGGTGTTTTTCAAAACGCTTCACGGAATCATTAATTTCGACCCTCACCCATAGGCCCAACTACCGATTTAATTTAAATATTTATTTTATGGTCTTTAGCACTGCAATAAACGCAGCAGCATGCAGGTCCCATCTAGGTCCCTAATTCCTTTTTTTAACTATACTGTTGCTTGCTCATCGACCCTGTTCATATACACGTATTTTAATTTGGATAGTAATATTACTATTTATATTTTTACGTAAGTGGTTTGGCGAGTAAGTTGTATGTAACCTTGTTGTCATACATAAAAATCAAATAAATTAAAAAATATAAACGTATCTTGTAAATTACCTAACCCAAATTAAACCTACAACCCGTTGTCAGATATTGAAGTTTGGACAAATATTTCCTCTTGAACACAATGCAGTTTTGCTAAATAGGAGCTGATTTAAAAAATACTTTTTTAATATTATTTATTAGTCAAACTTAGATCTTACTGTGTCTTTAAACCGATATAATAGATTTTCATTCCAACAATACATGTAATGCAATTTTTCGAGATTTACATGATTTGTAAGTGCCTTTACAAGAGTAATTTAGGTTGCAATTCGTAAACCTCTTGTGACAAAAAGTATCAATAGGTTACGGAAATCTCGACGAAGGAGAATGCAAGCGGCGGACGTAATCTTTTGTTGTTAAGCCTTGCACAATCCGCTGTTACGGAACTGAGCGATACGTGATGTGATTGCGAGTCCCACGTTTTTATCTCGACTTGCTTGACTCGTACCTCAATTATTTTTCTTATTAAGCTGTATTTACAAAATGCAAAAATGGTAATTAAAAACATTTATAACTAAAATATTTGTCCTGTTTGAGCTAGAGGGGAGAAATTTCACGAGAATGCATGTAGGATTGTAACCCAATTAGGTCACAAATTAAAAAGTATTTTGTCATAAACATTATTATAAGGTATATTGGTATTATATCTAAAATATTAGGCAACCGAGTCAATTGGCGAATGTGCGGAAGTGAATTGACATAAAGTTATACAGACCTTTTGTGGTTTTTTGTGCCTATTAAAGCTATTATTGTATATGCCAATGAGAATGGTTTAGCTATACATTAATTGTTTTAATAATAAAAAAAACAATTATACTGAAAAATGATAACTAGAGAATGTCGATATTACACCGTCTGTAGTGGGATCAATATATTGTTTTTACTTTTTAGCGTCTTTTTTCGTCTGTTTTTTTATTTATTGACATATAACCACCAGCATATGTTTTAAAGGTCCAGAAATGTTAACATTACAAAACATGTGTTGGCGCCGTTTCCGCTACTCCACAACAGTATCTATATTATAATTATCTTGTTTTTAACATTTACAGCTTTAATAAAGTAAACGGATAAAAAGACGTCCTTCATAATATATCGTTAATTAAATACAATCAAATATTATTTGTGTTTACTTGTTTTATTTACGAATAAAATATAAATAAGGTAAAACAGGACATACCGTAATCAGAAAAGATATTAAATTAAATGGATTTAGCGTTACGCGTTCTTTATTTTATAACTTCTATAGATTTCCTGTCCTTATCTTAACTCCTTTTATATTACTATATGCGTGGCATCAGCTCTACAATTTGCTTTTCCCACTTTCTTGGCATCCCAATATAGATCATTTACCCCACGGAACTTGGTCTATCTCGAATTCGATGGCCAGGGTTCTTATTATAGTTATTAATAGAAAACGATGGATGCAGCGTTATTAACTGAATAAAAAATAAAAAGAATAGGTCGTATTTTTCATTTTAAAAACATTCACAATCGGCGTAATCCGTCGCACGGCAATGAGTGAAATAGTTTAGAAATTGACTCAATGGTAACATAACTCTTATTCTTAACCTTAAACTCAAGGACACGGTGATATCTCTAAAGTAGTATAACCATACAGCCGATTTTTCTCGGATTGCTTTAAAATGTTAATGTATTGTTTTATCTTATCCATTTTATAACATCTGAACAGATATGGAGTATATTTGTTTAAAAACTCATTGATATAGAAATAAAATATTGCCATAATACAAATTGATAAAATTTCGAAAATACATAGTGATTTATTTATTTGAGAAACTCCATTCTACCACTGTTATAGACTCAAAACATCTCTACGTCGTAATCTCAATAGACTAGCACACTGTGCAGCACTTATGAAAGAATAAGCATCGAACACATTCCTTACTCGTCAAGATCAAGTTCGTTTGAGCAATAACGACCTGCACACAAACGTACCATCGACAATTAAGAATCCGTCCTATATTTTCATAAACTTATGTTGTCTATGAGATATTTGTCGTGCGATACGCGCGTTCGGCCTCGTTATAGCGTGCTAAATCTTATTTTATGATACGGTAAAGTGTTTTAGGTAATAGTTCCATTACAGTGATACCTTTCCCATTAGAATTTCATAATCAGTAACAGCTTCACATTTAGAAATCAAAAGTCAATTAGAGCAGCGGGAACTACGGTTATGGTTGCCGAGTAATTTTTTTAAATTGCCCCAGATATTGACGCAGTCCTTTGTAAAAGTAATAAGTATTATAAAATTGAATTATTTTTTTTAGAATCAAAAATTATTACTTCACTGTCGTTCGCAAAAAATGATTCATACGAATGAGCGAACTTGAATGTTTTGTCAAACGTTTGGTTAAAAGAGGAAGAAAAGTTCTTCTAATAAAACCACAATTTTTTACTTCGGTCATGTATTTTTTTTTATATCATAAGGTGGCAAACGAGTGAGCGAAATGAAAAAGTGCTGAAATAGCGAAGTGACCGTTGCCCATAGACATACGCAATTGCATATGCGTTGCCTACCTTTAATCGACGGAGGAGAGGATGCACAGAAAGAAAACATTTCCATGCATCCTCTCATCCGGAAAGTCCACTTCCACTTCCCATCCTTATAAGAAAAAGTGTAGGAAGGGAAAAAGGACTAAATTAGGCCTTCTGGACGCACACTCATCAGACGAAACGCGGAATTGCTTCCACTTCACGCCTGTCTTCTGTGTGGTCGTGGTATTTCACCGGGCGAGCCGGGCCAATTCGTGCGAAGATGTTAAAGCGGGCTCTACCACTGTTAATTATTGTCTAATGTTGTATAGAAAGGAAATTGCAGAAAAGTAGAGTTTGGTAATGTATTTTGTGTATAACAAAATGTAGGTCAGCATTAGCATGCCTCTAATTAAGATTTTAACACTACGGCTTTAGACAAGGTCTTCTATTGTTGTCTTTAACTATAAAGATAACTCATATATACTTAGCTGTATTCGAATAAAAAATACTAATTAAAGACAAATTAACCTGTGTCATATATTTACTATTTTAGTAGCTGACGCCCGCGACTCCGTCCGCAAAGAAATGAAAAAAGATTAATTAGTAGCCTATGTGTACTTCCATACATCCATGCCGAATTTCATCAAGATCCGTTGAGCGGTACTTGAGATACTTTATAACAAACATCCATATAGATATCTAAGTTTTGCATTTATATAATTAGCAAGAAATACAAGTATTATTAGCGTACTTTGAGTTATAAGTGCTGTAAACTAGAACTGTGTAAGTATTCTGAGCATTTTTCAATTTGTCTGGTCCGACGTTACTGCTTCCGAGAATCAAATGCATATCATCTGTCCCTCTCGTCCGCTTACGAATTCGTACCGTACAAAGCGAGTTAGTTCTATGTAAACCTACGGTAAAAATTGTTAAAAAGTGATAAAAAGGACAAAGTTGATCGTTGAGTATGAAATTGTTAATTTCTTTATCTATAATTGTGAGTCACGTGGTTGGGTGTAACTTTTTTTCATCAATTAAGGCATGTTAATCATTCCGGTTCCGTTGATACTTCGTCAGAAATATAAAACAACTCACATTTTGCCTCAGGGACACATGACCTTGACAACAATATTTCTTAAGCGGCGTTACAATTTTGCTGGCTGTTATCAACCGTTTTGTAAACCATTAAATAACGATGTCAAGAATTAAAAGTAATTAGGTAAAACTGGATCTATGGATGCAATAGATAACTGTGCATCTTTAATGCATAGATTTAATAAAATAATTTAAATATTTTTCATATTACAAATCTTTATTATCAACTTTTAAAATATAGACCTACTTATAATTTAACATTTTTTTCTAAGAAATAATCTAAATCTTTCAGAACTTTATTTATAGGCCAATAGAATGTTATCACTTAGAGCTATTCCGAAACCTATCGTTTTATCATTATTTATGCAATGATCATAAAATGCTTGATCACCACTATTAGTTGTCTATGATATAAGATTAAACTCGACTAATAATATTATTCTTAAAATGTTTATAGCAATTAAAATTTCACCTTTAATATAAATTTTGTTGTAGACAAATGAACAAATGACAATCCTATATGATAAATGTTTCATGTAACATTTAAAACAAGATCACTTTTCAGTGTATTTTATACATCGTTTTGAACATCATAAACTGTGCATTAAGTACTTGGGCCTACTATTTTTCTTTTTTTCGTACACACTTTATATTCTTTAGATGTAATTATAAAATTTCAAGACGAAAATATACATTTCATTGAAATAATATTTTCCTGCGTCAAATGTCATGATCGTTCGATAGATATCTGAATAACGATATTAGTTATGTTCTTGTAGTAGTAGTAACAGTAGGAGCTATAGCTATAGTAGTATTTTACTTCATGTTACGGTAGTATTTTTCTTGTAAATATTTATTATATTTCCCATCATAATATTTTTTTTTCACGTCATTATGCACAAAGTATTAAATTATTTAAAAACTGTACTAATATTAATTTATGAATATACGTATTTCATTGTTCGATTTACACTTATGTCAACAATAATGTAATTAATGGTTCTTAAGTTTCTAAAATTTCTGAATATTTCGTTTTTTGTATGTGAAAATTCTATTGTTCGATTGTTAAACAGAAATCAAATGATGTTTGAATTGGCGATAGTTGTATTGTATTCCTTTTATCTGGAAGTATGCATAAGTAAAGTTTTTGGCATGTTTACACTAAAAAATAAACTGTCATCTATAAATTTGAAAGTATAATAAAATACAAAAACATTTGTATTTTTGCACGTTTGTAACGAATAAATTGAAAAAGTACTGCTCCGACTTCGTTAATTCTTTCACATTTATAATGTTTCATTATCTCTGATTAACTAGGACTAAATTTATTATTGTCACAAATAAAAAAAAATCGTTTATACATACGACTCCAAGACTGGTCTTACTAGTCTTACTAATATTATAAGTGCGAATATTTGGATGGATGGATAGAGGTTTGTTATAGAGTATCTCCTGAACAGCGGCATGGATCGCGTTGGCATAGGCTAGGAGTCGGGTATTTAATAATTTTGCAGGTTAGAGAAGAATCGAAAAAGGATATAAATAAAAATAAGTTAAAAAATTAGTAAAAATCAAAGTGCACAATTAGGACATTAATCATACCTCTCACACGGAAGGAAAGAACGAAAAGCGTTAATGGACAAGGTCATTGTGACTTAGTAGATCATTACCTTAAAAAGACCTTTGAATGTGTCACAATCAATTTTCGGTTCAACTTATTTCTAAGGCGTGACTTGAGGATCAATTGTTTAAGTGGAAATAGTTTGCTTAAGATTTTTCGTACTTCAAAAATTTGGATGTCATGTCTTTTCTAGTAGTATCTACTGTGTATCTATACTAAATTAAAGAACATGAATATAATAATATATAATAATAATGAGTATAAATTTCTGCTATGTACTTGTTTGTAATGGAAATCCATTACTGGTAAAATACAATAAATGGAATTAAGAGATATTTGTGAGCGAATAAAATATTCTTTTAACAGAGATTAATGATTTTAATTAGTAATCACATGAATAAATATTACATGTGTTGAGACCGACGTATCTTCAATTAATTATATAGGATGTTATTGAATAATAAAATTAGAAAATTGGCAATTATCATAAACATTTTCTCAAGTTCATTCCATCCTTTTCCTTTGTAGATACCCCCGAAATAGTTGTCGATATTAATACGTGAAATATTAACCAATAGCTAGCACAACCTTTTTGGGCTATTGGCGTTTTGTGTTAATTCAGCGCTCGGGTAGGACGGTGCTGCTTTTAGATGTAATAAAGTTTCGCTTATTTTTTTTTTAAATAATATATTAAAATTAAAAAAATAATTAAAATAATACTATGGGTGTCATATACTGTGCGTGAGAATACAGTGTTTATTTAATATCAATAAATTTGGACTTAAGTTATTATCATGTTCGCGAATCTTATTTTTAATTGGTGAGTTTTTGCACGAATAAAAAAAAATAATCGTTGAGAAAAATGCTACCTTTAAAATTCAACAGTTTAAATGCTTTGGATTTCTTGTCAAAATATAGTAATTGTAGCATAGCCATGCATATTATTTTACATGCATATTTATCTAGTTACGGGTTCAGTTCGCAGTCGATTTTTTTTTTACAAACAAAATTATTAAAAGGCTTTTTCTTTCAATTAGAGCAGCTATTTTACGTAAGAGGATTCGAGCCCAGCCAATAAAAAAAATTTTAAGCGTTTTTCATACGCAAGTTTACGTCGCCTGTAAAATTTAGGATAAGGGGTACTTGCATCTGCTGCATGCGGATTGAAGACGACTGGAGTTATTTATAATAGTATACTAAGGAGTTTTGAATGTGAATGTGTGTGTACTTTTTGTATGCAGATATTGAACAGACAGATTGAAAACATTTTATAATATATAATATTAAAAAAGTATGGTGTCTTAATTTTATTATAATTTCTAACAAAAGTTTTTTTTTATTATCATTTGTAACCTATGTTTAGTGTATGTATTTTAAGATTACACTGATAAGCACCATTAGCCATTCGATCCATGGACTACTAGGTTCTAGGTAGTATACGTAAGTACTCAGCTATCGTGGCTTTCATTGGCCATGACATGGCATGAGCAAAAAATATTATCATAGACAATTAAACAGAAAAACCTCTCGACCGCAAATCCCCTAATCGTGAGGTCAGCGTTACGACTACGATTCACAAAAATAAATATAACATTTCATATTTAGTCAATATTTTGCAAGATATGCAGTACTTTTAGACTGCGTGTAACCCATTCTAACTTTACTCAAATAAATGAAAATATAATTAAAGAATGTAGACCCCCAAATTACTCGTTGACAGTATATATATTATTGTCATAGTAAAAAATTTTTTTAGAACTTTTGCGTTGAATCGTATATTTTTCAAATTGCTTTTTTCTCTTCGTTATAAGTGTACTATATATGTATGTATTAGGTACTTGTAGACATATAAAAAATACTATGTGGTATTTGTAAAATGTAGTTTTCTTATAAACTATTGTTTTGTTTAAATTTTAAGCATTGACACAGGGCATTTTCATTTCAGTTCAGTTTAATTCTAGTCATAATGTGAGAGTTGACATAATTCTTATTTGAATATTACGGCAGTGGACACCGACGGTTAACAAGCCACATTGGTTTATAGATCTCTGTCCTTAGCGTGTCTTCCAAATTATTAATTTTTTGCTAAATTTTTTTTCAAAGTCATGGCCAAAAAGTTACAAGCACAAAATAAATAAAAGAACTAGGGAGGACGGAGATATTGAGAGTTGTAAACAAACTTAAGATTCACGCCTAGAAGCCGACCCTGACACGATACAATTCTGCCACGCGGCATGCAAATAATATTGGCATAAAATTTACTATTCCACCAATTTACCTCTTTAATACTTTTAAAGAGTTTTTTTCAATCCTTTTGATATTTCGATCCAATTATATACGTCCTTGGCATTTGGGAACTGTTGGCATTCTAAGTACGTTACAAGCTGTTATGCGAACCTGTATTTTCCTCGATTAATTCAGTATTATTTAATTAATGAATGTACAAGAGTTTATCTAATAGATTAATTAAAAATAAACTTAAGTTACGAATAATTCATTCATGCTTTTGTTTTACGTTACTTGAGAATCTCAACATACGCTTGTAATCCAGAGGTGTAGGCAAGAATTAGGTAGTTTCATTTGATGCGGTCCTAGTACATTTCTTTCGCCTCTTCCACATTCACCTACACTTGCATGATTGGCGTTTTTTTAAGATTTTATGAACTATTAAAAATTTAGTTTTCTGTGATAGGAAATGAAATAAGGATGAACATACGTCATTGCCAAAACTCCATTTCCCATTTCGTCTGATGACTGATCGGTCTAATTTTAGTACTCTTTCCCTTGCTATGGATGTCTATGGAAAACTGTAACTGCGCTATTTCGACATGTTTTGGTCGTTGCTTAATCGTTTGCCATCTTATAAATGAACAAAAACCCTCTTTTGGAAGATCTGCAATATATGATAAAAATATGTTGATATATTCGTGATATTTAAAATGAAATAAAAATACACAAAATTGCATGGAAATGTTGTTTTCACGGTTGGTTGGGTTTGGAACGAATTAAAATTTATCATATCACGACGTCAAAAAAACATAGATATGATAGATGTATAAGTTAATGTTTTTTACTCATACTACTTTTTTTACTTTACATCTTTGCAATGAATTATTTTCTATGAATCATCTTGAGTCATTTTACACAAATTTGATTGTCTTTATTCTAGTTTTGATAACCTTCCTCTGTAATTGATTCTCTTCAGTTCTTCTGTCAAAGCTTTTTAGTAGAGACAAAAAAGTATTTTATATTTGATACCAATCTAAGATTTTTTTTGGTATTTTTTTACTCATATATGTATGCGCCTAGACAAATAAAATTATGTACGAAGTAGTTTGAACAAAACTTTCTAAAACGTAACATGCAACAAGTAACAAATGGATTACCTTTGTCAACTCGAACTGACCTAGGCCTCAATACGAAGTGTTGTCAGTTGTCATACTGACATGCTCATTTATATTTCATGTTTACATCTTAAACAATAAAAGTCGCATTACAGTCTTCTATTTGGGTATAAGATATGGCATTCTCTGTGTTGGTTTTGAGAATCACATATCGTCATCCTACTCATTATTTTTGACAAAACAGAGATAGCTATAGATATATTTGAAACGGTGATTTTGGTCTCAGAAATCAAGGATTAGTCCGTTATTTGGTAGTGGTTTATATGATCCGAATCAAAACTTGATGTTGATGTTACATTCTTAAAAATTGCACTTCTAGAAAGTTAAAAAAAAATTCTTAATACCTTTCAAATGATAAAAGAATTAAAATGATGTTAGGGTTTAAAATAAATAACCTCTTGAGAGCTACAGATATGTCATAAAACACAAGAAATCTATTGTTTTTTACGTGATATTTTGGAAGTATTTATATGTTTACCAAGTCGCACTTGGCCAGCGTGGTTGACTATGGCAAAATCATCCTTAACTTTAAGGTAGGCTCCGAGCCCCTCGGTGGGGACGTATAGTGAGCTGATGATGATGACGATATTGTTTTAAATGGCACTTAAATATACCGGATACAAAGCTGTAATTAGAATTTAAGTAACTGACGTGAAATTAAAATTATCTATCACTTAAATAATTTCAACAAATCCGGTATCACAAGCTTTTTGTCGGGTTTTTTGCTTAAAATTTGAGGAAAATAATGACAGGTTATTACACAGAACAAGGATGTAAAATTTAAAATATAGATATAAGTTTTAATTTGACTTGATTTGATGCTATTTTAACGTTCTTTTTTACTTTTTAATAACTATTTAAATAAAATAATATATGAGTACATTGACCTTAAAACTATTTTAAATGGTTTTATGAATTTCTTTTTAATTTTTATTTTACTAAATTTATGAATTTAAAATAAGTATTGACTAATTGCGACATTAGCACAGTTAATAAATAGCAAGGTTATTTAATTAGAATGACAGAATTAATAAAGGTCAATGACATTATAAAATGTAGCAAATTACCTCTTTATCAATGTACTCGTTACACAGGGTTTTGAATAGTATTATAATTGATTGATAGATGCGCAAAAATATTCAATTAAAGATAACATTTTTGCATTTTAAAATTTACTTATCTTACTATAATTATTTTTACCTTAAGCACTTAATAATACAAAGACATTTTATTTATATTAATTATTTATCAAGTTCTACAATTTTGTATTTAACGCTAAAGCTTATCCAAATTGCCTAAGTATTTAATTATTCTGTTTCAAAATTAAAATTCTTGAATCAAATATTTTTTTATGTTAATCTTCATTTGTAACATGGTATCGATTATGGTTAAGTATAATGCCCAATTATAAAGTGTGTTCCTACTTCCAATTGCTACGTGTGCTACATCATTAAATTGGTATTTTGGTGCAGAATAAAATTTACTATGATCTTACTCCATTCAGAGATAGTAGCCAAAAATATTGTTTTTTTCCAAATACATTTCAGTATTAAAATAATACCATAGATATAACCCAACTACTCTTATCATCAAAGTCGTAAGGATTTTTTGTTAACGAATAAAATAGTTTTAGATCAGGATTTTGCTTCATCCTATATTTCAAACCCGATTACGTTTATTGTTAACTAGCTTATATTTCGACTGCTTGGTTTCTTAGTATAGTTTATATTTAATTATTTTTTTGCTTAGTGAACTTTTTGTTCTACGCGCGGTCGTGGTCATCGTTACATCGGCAACACTGATGTACGCTACGGATTTTTTTTAGATATTTTTTCCTTATAAAAGAATCGAGTATCGTTTTAATCCTTAATTATCTTTTTATTGGCGTTATATGTTTGTATTTAAGGGAGTTATCGTGGATTTCTAAGACCCAAATCTCCGTTTAAAACATATTGTTATTGCTGTTTTGTCATAGATAATGACAGGGCTGACCATATGTTTTATGCAAATAATTTAGTCTCAAAAACCCACGCTTATAGTAATGGAGTTAGCGTGATAATAAGAAAGGGTGGAAGAGCAGCCGAACCAAACAAACATGCATACGTAGATGTATGAACGTTAAAGAAGTTAGAAAGATATGTTCCAAATACAAAATTTGTAATCTCTGCCTACGCCTTAGGCTTATTGGCGTTGTCGTTGTTTGTGATCTAATGTCTTATTATTTCATTTTAGGCGATGCTGGTGCTTGATAGTATGTTCAATATCGTTATCGGCAGCATATCGCAATCCGTATTTCCGTCGATCACCTAATATCCTTTTCTTTATGGTCGACGATATGGTATGTTATTATTTTTTATTTTAAGTATATATTTGTTAGTTTAAGTTAATTTTCCACTAAAAGCAGTCCTCGAAAAAAATTCTATATTGACTCTTATTATCCTGCTTATTGTCCTTAGATAGAGGAAGCCCACATTAATTGGTTGCAAATATTTTCAGGGATGGCGGGACTTATCGTTGCACGGCTCGAATCAGATACTGACTCCGAACCTCGACCGTATGGCATACCAGAGCGTAGTACTGCAGAGTTACTACAGCGAAGCCATATGCACGCCCGCACGCACCGCCCTACTCACTGGCGTCTACCCTAGTAAACTTGGTAAGTAAAGAAAGGAATATTTTAAAAACATCAACACTCTGTCTTAGAATCTAAAAAGTCTTAGAATACTACAAAATAATGTACCTATATTGAATTCTGTATACACATGTTTGTTAAAGGAATGCACGGCATGCCGTTGTATAACTCAGAAGATAGAGGCATTCCTCTGACGGAGAGGCTTTTGCCCTCCTACTTGAAGGAGCTAGGCTATGCGACGCATTTGGTTGGAAAATGGCATGTGGGTATGTCGAAAAAAGAATATCTACCCACGTCAAGAGGATACGATTCTCACTACGGAATGAGAGGTGGATTCATCGATTATTACACTTATAATAAAGTAGAAACTGTAAGTACCAGTTTTATGATTTTCTTTCTTAAATTATAATTATGTACAAAAATCGACTACAATTCATTTATTTAGTTAGCTAGTACAATGGCAGTCTTGTTTTTCAATTGGGCATTGCAAAAAAAGGCAGAATTTTAATGAGTCCAATAAGAAAACAAAACTTGTTTTTTTTTGTTTTTAAATCGAAACGGTCGGTAAATTATTTGTGGGCTTATTGAAAGTACTGACAAGTTTTTGAACACTCTTTAAGGGAAACTTGTTACTTGAGTATATTGAGTTTTATGAAAGTTTTCTGACCAAATCAGTACAAGGTCATGGCCACTTGTTATATGAGCAAATTTCCAGTTGCGTGTTTGTCGCACAATTAAAATATACGTTATACACAATAATATTACGACTTAAAATTATCTAATAATCAAAAGACAAATCAGATAATAAATTACATTTATATGAATAAAAAGCATTGCTATGTTTGTCCCCTATGAATTTTTAAATCACTCATCCGAATGCGTTGCAACTTTAATGGAACTAGCAAAAAGTTTTTACATTGTATTTATTTCAGGAGCCATTTCAGAAAAAAAACGCATGTCTGATATATCGATTGGCTAAAAATAATAGATTCTTAATTATAACAAGTTCTGAAAAAACGATTTCTTTTAAAAAAAATATTATTATTTTGTTTCACTACTAATTTTATAACATAATTTGTAAACTACTAGATATATCGCAATGCAACAGTACGTGTTTAGTTGGTTGTTAGATTTGATAACGAGATAAACAACGCACTGTTATTGCAGGGAATGGAATAACTGTTTGCTAGTACTCTCTCCATCGCATCAAATACTATGTTGCAGTAATACCTACGGTATTCCATGATACAGTCCGCATCGTGATGCATTATTATGTTAACTTTCGTTACTGTAACTTCTTTGTTATTTTTGATTTCAGTGGCCTAACGGACGTTTATTGTTCGGCTTAGATCTTTTTAACAACGACAAACCTCAGGAAGAAGAGCAACGTTATATCGTAGATGCACTCACAGACAGGGCAGTTAATGGTAATTTTAGTGACTGAACACATTTGATAACATTATTTGCTAACAAAGTAATTAATAAACATACTATATTGTGATTTAGATTATTTAAATTGTGACACAATGCCATCTATTAACTAATGGTAAAAGTTTTTTTTTTATAAATGATATTTTATATGTTTTAATAATACTTGCAGTGATCAGACAACACAACTCTTCAAGTCCATTATTCCTTCACATCACACACAACGCGCCACACGCTGGCAATGGAGGCGGCGCTCTCCAGCCCCCCTTGTATTCCTCAATCAAACATCAACACATTGCTAACTCTGATCGGCGACTATATGCAGGTACCAGTATACAAAGAATTTGTGAATTGGATAGATACTTTATTACGTCATAAATTATAAGTTTTATGTTACATGAAGTAATTCGTTTTCAGAAATAGTGTCGCACATCGATCAAAGCTTTGGAGAAGTAGTCAGGGCTCTTTCAGAAAACGGTATGCTAGAGGATACCATAATTATATTCGCATCAGATAATGGCGCCCCAACTACAGGAGAATTTTCCAATTGGGGAATTAATTTACCTTTTAGAGGAAAGAAAAATACTCCTTGGGAAGGAGCGGTGAGAGTGCCAGCTTTTGTTTGGCATTCGTCGTTCACACCTACAGTATGGAAAGGTCTAATGCATATAACAGATTGGCTCCCAACTTTACTGGCTGCAGCTGGAGGAAAGGTTGATAAAAAGATCGACGGCGTCAACCAATGGGAATCGATTATTCGGAATTCAAATTCTCAAAGAAATGAGGTTTTAATAGCTGTTGAAGACAGTAGCAGAAATATCTACGGTGCATACAGATCAGGGGATTACAAAATTGTCATTGGTAACGTAACTGGCGTAAGTAACGACTACTACGGAGAAGAATTTTTAGCTATTAAAGGAAAAGAGCCAGAATATTTACCGAGTTTAAGATCTTGCGTAGTATCAAGAATATTTGATAGGATGGGAATATATAGACAAAACGAAGACATATTGGCAATGAGAAGAGCTACTACAATAAATGCACAGGGTCCATTTACGAACGTAACTTTGTGCATACCGACGCTGAGTGAGTAAATTTATTGACAACGTTCATATACTTTTATGGGAAACACTTTAAACTAATAATTTATGTTTTTTTATTAGCTCGAGGATGCCTTTACAATGTTCGAGAAGATCCAGGTGAAAGAAATGATTTATGGCAGAGAGAAAACAGTATCGCCACGAGACTAATCAATAGGCTAAGAGAACTTTGGGCGATGCAGCTGAGACGGGGCCCGCCTGCTTTGAGTGCAGCCTCGGATCCTGCTAACTTTAATTATATTTGGATGCCGTGGATTAAAAGTAACTGTACAACTGTAGCAACAACACCAGATAATTCTAATAAAAACACTATTTCGTATATAAATTTAGATGACGGGAAAAGAACTGAAGTTAAAAATTTAACACTTTCAGCAGTAGTCAATTGCGAGGGTACAACTATACTTAAAAACTTTTTCTGTATCTTAAGAAGTGTTTTCTAGTACAATTATTTTAAGTTTTTGTTGATTAGTACAATATGTAAAGTAACATAAATAGAAATGTATTCTTACAGTTTTCTTTAAAATCCATCAGGATTTTGACTTTGTTAAGTAAGGAATTAATATTATAGGAATATTACATTTATTTGTGAGATTGACACACAATTTATACAAAACCTCCTTAATAGTTTCTTGCCGATTCGGAAACGTCTTTTCCTATTGTTTGGTACTACTGCACCGAGGGCGGGGCAGCAGTGCGGGGGACAACCTTACAGACCCCACTCGCCGCCCCTTCATCTTTGCATCTACCAGTTGCGCCACGCCATTCCGCCCGACGACATCCAAATCAAATCATATTTGCTTTCATAGTCATTTGGCATTACAATCATCCGCCAGAACCAGTATTTCATTACATCATCATACTGTCCACTCGCTCAACATATGGTCCTTCAACCGGCAAAGAAAGAAGAAAATACACCAAGAGTCTTCGTGACATACTGTCCACTCGCTCAACACCTATTCTAGAAAAATTTATGTGTAATTGTGAATAATAGTGTATTCATCTTTTCTCCTAGTGATTTAAATACTATCATTGTAAGAGAGGCTAGCCCTCCCTACAGTATCCTAATTTATAAAAAATATTCTTTTAAATTAAACAATAGAAAGCAAGGTTCGATAATAAAAATATGTAAATACAATTATTTCTACTTTCCATTTATTCCTCAACTTGTTTCTGTACTTTTATGACATATGTAAATTAAAGAATACAAGTACAAAAAAAAGGTTTGATATTTCCATGTTTGTGTGACATTTAAATATTTATTGCATAAGAGAAAACTATTATTTACAAAAGTTTGTTACAATTCTTAAAAAAAATTAAGACATAATCACCGATTTTCATTTTCATATTTTTACTTTAAAATCTGATTAATTGATTTTAGTGTTAAGTAATTGAACTGCTTAGTTTTGAGTAATTTTGCTTTGACAAATTGACGTAACGATATTATTCAACACAAGGAGAGCAACAAAAGAGGATAATAGAGTCGAAGTCTGTTCTTCCTATTGTTTCAAAAGCGCCTGTCATTAAAATGATGGCAAAGAAAACATAAGCGTTTTATTAGCAAAACTAAAACGCATTCAGTTAGTTTTATTCGAGGAAATCTATTGAATGAATAATTGCTATTAACAGAGTTAACGAATTTAAAAGTCGTATTGAGGTAAAGTTTTTATTTCTTAAATTTAAATTAATCGTGCGTAAAATTTGCAGAACAACTCCAAGTTGAGATTGATTCATCCAGTAATTTCGTTTTCTACTTAACTATTCTCTTTGAATAACTAATTCTAAGGCTTGTCATATTCTGTGTGCAAATGTAAATAAATAAATAAACTAAATCTGACTGTGATGGTTCCGTACGCAATTAATAATGCGTTTTGTTTATAAAATATAGATGAGTAGAGTTGCATTCTAATCTGGTGTGAAATGGCGATGAGATGATGCTTAATAGACTAATCATAACAATGCAGTTTTACATGATATATTAGAGGAGAACAATGTGACCTCGACACTACGCAAGGCTACAGTGGTCAAGACATCTCGTCTGCGCACAAGAACAACAAAAATCGCCCCTTCTGTGTATTGTATATTTGATAATTAATCATTTAAATTAAGTCGACTATAAGATAACGTAAGTAATTTTGTTTTACAGTTTTAACAGTAACGTCTTACTTCTCATTAATATTAGTACCTGGATGACCGAGCTTTGCTCGGTATTTTTTTTAAATTGTGTTTTTTGGAAATTATATTTAAGTACGAATTACTCATAAAATGATGAAATATGAATAATATTTTTCGATCTTACCGATAGAAAAAGTTAAGTTTATATTTAAGTTGATTATCGATAAAACACGAATAAAATGATATTTTCTAAAAATGATTCCTAGCTAGATCGATTTATCGCCCCCGAAACCCTCTACATACTAACTTTTATGAATATCGTTGGAGCCGATTCCGAGATTGCAATTATATATATAATTGGAATCTCAGAATATATATCGGATAAATAAATAAATAAATATATATATATATATATAATCAGAAATTGCTCATTTAAAGATATAAGATAAATGCAAATATTTGGATCGATAGATGGATGTTTGTTTGAAGGTATCTCGAGAACGGATGTATGGATTTTGCTGAAATTTGGCATAGATGTAGAACATAGTCTGGAAGAACACATAAGCTATTTATTTAGTAGTTTTTTTTTATTTTTTTTAATACGGAGTCGTGGCCAACAGCTAGTTTTAGAATTATTCCTCTATAACCCTAGCGTTCCTCTGCAATGTGTGTAATAGACAAAATGGAAACGATAAAAATAATATTTTTTAATTTAATTTACAAAATAAATAATTTATTGCGAGATAAAACGAGATGAAAAATTTCTATGTATACATATTTAATCTTGATTTCAATCATAACGGTCCTATCTTAGTTTATGTACGTCAAAGATAGCGTTGTGTATATGTTTTCTAAAGTCAGATTGTATCAACCGGTTAGACAGCTCGTGCGATGTGCTGTTAGTAATAAATAAGAATTTAGATTTATAATCAATATTGGAAATTTTAAAATAGAAAAAGAGGTAAGTTAAATATCTTTTGCTTATTCTCTGATTATTTATAATAATATGGTAAGGGATTATTTTAAATAATCTTAATTTATTAACGACTTTCGTTGTACTATTTTTAGGGGTTACGGAAAAATAGTTTTTAAATGAGTTTTTTGTGTTTATTTTAAATAAAATAAATTTCGTTTGAATTTAGGATCAATTAAACCTTCGATATACTTAGGTTAAAATACATTTTTAATTTTAAATGTTTTTTTTTAAATCTATCGTTTTATCTCTACACAAAACAATGAGAGTTTAAATTTAATAAACCTATTATTAACTCTGTCTTACCATTTTAATTGCTTTGTTGTTTAGATAGATCTATTTTAGTTGTGTCTCAAGTTGTATGGGTCAAACAATCAAAGTTACATGATTTAAAATGTTAGAACGCTATATCAATAGATGATTAAATTCAAGGATTTGTAAGTGTTTACGTAAATAAAGGGCATTCATTACTACGTTCTCAATTCAAATAGTAAATTATTTTTAAATTTTTTTTTACTTTTAACATGTAGAGGATAAAAATTTGCATTTAATTCTACAAACATCAAGTCATGAAGCAAATATTTCACGATATTAAGGAAAAAGGACAGATTACTTTGTTTCAACTATGTATTAATCTTATTTTTTTAAAGTAATACTTTGATATGAGATATCCATAAATATTTAAAAAAAACATTGGATTAAATAAAATAAAAAAAACTTTCTTTGAAACCGACTGGAATTTATTAACACTTAGTGATAACAACACGGAATTGAAGAGTTGCACTTATTATTAAACTTTTATGTTCGTTTTGCAACAGCTATCACAGTAACTACTACAATAATGTCTGCATAATTAATGTCTTTTGCGTATCGTTTCATAATTCTTAATAAAAATATTCCTATCATTACGGGTCAGGTCATTAACCCGTATGTGTAATAATCACTGATAATAATATAATAATTTCTAATGTTACAATTATACATCACCATTCTAATGTTTTGTCTTTTTCGGATGAAATTCACTTGAATTTTACAAACGCGTGTAAAACTGTTTTTAGTCAAAGAAGGATATCTCAGCCGGTGAAAAAGAGTCGCAAGAGTTAGTTCCATCAGAAAATAAAATATTTTTAAATCTTACCACAGAAAACATCATAAAAGAAAAAGTATGTTATGGTAACTGCAGTACGAAAAGGACCTTGTGACACTTTTAAAAAAATTGAAAAGAGGGCGCTAGTGAGCTATCCTAATTTAGTTTGACTTATGCCCGCTTGGTCAGATATTCTTGTCAGTCTATAGATTGTTTTATACCTTGCATTTCGATCCCTTACATTCTCTTCGAAACTGAGATCAGCCAAATCTCTTAATTCGCGGTTTCACAACACACGGGAAAAAATTGTAGGCAAACAACCCAAAATGTTTGGATGCTGTTTCTGTTTCTACGGCACATTACGAAACCTAAAACCTTCTGGAATGTGAAGATCGGACTGTAGTTGTATGTAGTAAAACATTCGGCAGTGGACACTTACAATTGAAATAATGTGATGTCTAATGGTCATTTCGAGGAGTTCTTCATAAGAATTGCAAAATACTAATAACCATTGTAAAAAATAATAACAAAATACAAAATAATACCTCCTTTTGCCGGTGTTTTGTAACATCTTCGTTCTTGTTTAATTGTATTAAAACCATTAACGCAACGTCTTCAACTGGTCCTTACTGTATTTTCTTTTATTTTAGAATGCGGTTAGGAGACTTGTATGTTATACTCTTAGTTATGATATTAATGTCAGATGTACAAAAAGTTGAAGGAGAATGGAAGAGACCAAATATTGTCTTCATTATTGCCGATGACATGGTAAGTACACATTACTTACTTCGAGCATTCAAATTCACCTCATTAAGGACACGAATTTATGTAACGACTCCATACATCGAAATAGACTGAGCTGTGTACACTCGTTTTTCTCTACATCTTCATTTATGGGTTAATGTTTTGTAACTCCAATTTTTGATCTCATAAATGCTACCTATTCCACTTAAACTTCAGGGTTACGATGATGTCAGCTTCCACGGCTCGGATCAGATCATGACGCCGAACATCGACCTGCTGGCATACACGGGCGTTGCTTTGGAGAGATACTACAGTCATGCAGCATGTACTCCATCGCGTTCTGCTCTACTCACTGGCAAATATGCTCACGTTACAGGTTCGTAATACTTATGATAACTCAACAAATTTAGAACACGGACTATAATATACATCTATGGGGGAAAAGAATAGGTACGAGATACAACCACAATACCAACACACCGATAAACGTATTCTAATTTTGTATTAAACATTATGTGATGTTGTAGGTATGCAAGGATATCCTCTAACAAACAGCGAAGATAGAGGTCTGCCAGTTACTGAGAAAATTATGCCGCAATATTTCAAAGAGCTCGGTTACGCGACGCACTTGGTCGGCAAATGGCATGTAGGCCAATCCCGCACTGAATTCTTGCCAACGATGCGAGGATTTGATACTCATTTTGGTCACAGAGGAGGTTTTATAGATTATTATGAATATACACTCCAGGAAGAGGTACTTTATGTAAATTCTTTGATGTGTAGACAATGCCACTGTTTGGTATAAAATAAGCAAATAGTTGTCTTATCATTTTAAAACTTTGTTAACAGAATGGAGTTGAGGAAGTGACTGGATTTGGACTATTCAGAAATTTAAGTGCGGCTTGGAATGATGAGGGTTATATCACAGATCTTTACACGAAGGAGGCGAAATCAAGTAATATTTATAACATAAGAAAATATAAATTGTTCGATCCTCTCCGATATTTCTTTTAAATATATGAAAGTTTGGTAGTCTGAATTGGTTTAAGCTCTTAACCATGAGGTTCTTGGCACATAAACTTATCCTTAACCTATCGTTGATGATGATGAAAACCTGATGTAAAAGAAATATTTTTTATTTCAGTAATTATGGGACACAATGATTCCCAGCCGTTGTTCCTAGTTGTGGCGCACAACGCACCACATTCTGCTAATGCGGCGGCCGTATTGCAGGCACCTCCTGAGGCAGTTAGGTCCATGCGACACATTGAGTCACCACAAAGAAGAATTTACGCAGGTAATGGAGAGTACGCAGCTTGATCAGAGCGTAAAGATTTAGGTCTACCAAAAAATCACTCAAATAATTAATTATAACCTCGCTATAAACCTTTTTCAGGAATGGTCAAAAGACTGGATGAAAGCGTTGGTGAAATAGTTAAAGCACTATTAGAAAAGAAAATAATTGATAACACTATCATCGTATTTGTGTCTGACAATGGCGGCATGACATCGGGCGATTCAATGAATTATGCGTCAAATTGGCCTTTGCGAGGTCTTAAAATGTCTCCCTTTGAAGGTGGTATAAGAGTGAACGGATTAATATGGTCTCAAAATTTGACTGAGGATAGTCACTCTTGGAAGGGATACTTTCATGTATCTGATTGGTTACCGACTTTGATGAGAGCTGCTGGTGAAGACCCACCATTAGGAATTGATGGCTTTGATCTATGGGATAACATTATTAAAAATAAACCCTCGAAAAGAACTGAAATATATGAGTTTGACGATATGGGAGGGCACTATACAATTTTCTTTAACGAATACAAACTAGTGACAGGACATGTACCAACCGAATTCGGAGATTATCAAGGCGGTGAAGAACTTAAATCTATTATAGGAAATGGTCCTGACTACAACGATACTCTACAAAACAGCGTCATGCATGATGTCCTTTGCAGTATAGGCAAACAATTCGATTTTGAAAAAGCTAAGCTGCGAGACAAATTGAAATTAACTTGCCACGAAGATGTCAAGAAAAATCCTCACCTTTGCTTTCCACAAAACAGTAAGTTGTGATTATAACAAATTTATGCTTCTACAAAAAATCTTAAGTTAATTTATCATTTCTAGAAGTATTTGATTTTATATTTCCTCCACTATTATAAAGCTACGCTATCCCGAATTAACGGAAGCTTGATATTTTTTATTGAAATATTAATGAAAAAAAAGATTGAATTTTAATCATATCACAACGTATATAATTATTTTTTAGCTTTATGGTGCTTGTACAATGTAATAGAAGACCCATGTGAAACGGAAAACCTGAGCAAAAACAACTACAGATTTATTCGCAGTATGCTGAATAGACTACAAAAGGAAATAGCCAGAAGCATACCAAGACAGAAAGTAAAAAGGGACCCTAGATCCTCGCCACGGCTACATAACTACACTTGGGACGTCTGGGCTGATGACAATAACCCAAGTTTACTTAGAAGTTAGGACAATAACTATGACACGATTAAATATTATTACCCAGTTTATTGTTGAATTAAGAAATGTGAAAAATTAGTGTAATAAAATATACTTATATATGTATTTCAAAAGAATTGTTAATAATACATTAAAGGCAGTACAAATGTATATAACTTTAGAAAGTTATTCGTAATGGGGCGATTAAATTTAGTAATATTAAAAGCTCCTTTGTTTTCAAAAACAAAGGTTCTTCAATAAGTATTTGTTAAGTTGTACACATTAATATTTCAAGGAGTCGTCAATATATACTTAAAAAAATTATTGGCTGTAAGATATGATTACGTTGTATTTTAAAATATTTAAAATTAAAGGTTTTTTACCTTAAAATTAAATTAAAGGCTGCAACTATTCCTAAATAATAAATTAAATAATTAGACTTGTTAAGGAACCTCACTTAAGATGCTGTTGGTTTTTTCCTGAACGTATAACTTTTAAACACTTTAATGAAAATGTTTTATATTTTTTAAGTCTTTAATAATCATGTAACTTTTTATTATTTTCAATAATTATTTTAAAGGCATTGCTAGATCTGCTCGTGTCTGTATTTTATTGTACATATTTCCTTTTTTCTAAACTATGCTTAGCCTGTTGGATATATATAGCAAGAACAGTACTTCGCCTTAAAAGTTATTTTGTAACAAAGCTTTTAAGCCCACTACAATCCCCCTTTTTACTGTACAGTCGGAGTGTTCAGTGAAATCTTACACGTGTAGACATAATTTGAGGTGTCAGTTAAACTGTAGTTATGAGTTTTGTCTACACACCTTTAGTTTGAGTCTTACAGTTAAATCTGTGTAGTTGAATCGGAAGGTTTGTAGTGAAGTAGTGAAGAAGTTGTGATCTTTAGAAATATTTTAAAATTTTTACCACACTTTTACTTTCAACTTGAAAAGGTGTTTGCATTTATGGGAACATAATGGAAATTGATTTTAATAAAATGTTTAATATAATGATATTTGCAATGCGGGTGAATAGATCGCATCCGGATATAGCGAGAGATAGGAAATGGGCTCTGCAATTTATTTGTGTTCACGGAATATTTTTTATAATGTTCTGCGCTTTGGTTTACAGCATTATCTTTTATGATATAAAAAGCAAAGACTTCACTCAGGCATGTTCGAATGGCGCTATATGCATTGTATTCATTGTAGTCACGTTTAAATATTGCGTTATGTTGTACTATCAAAATTTATTCAAAGATATGATACAAATAATGAAAAATGATTACAAATTATCAACCGAATTACCATTAGAAGAGCAACAAATCGTATTACATTTTGCTTTAAAAGGCAAAGGAGTTATGAAACTATGGCTTATAATATCCATTTGTACAGCTTGTCTTTTTCCAGTAAAAGCTATAGTTTTAATGATTTATTACAAGATGATAGGCGATTTCAAATTCGTTCTACTTTATGATTTGACGTATCCAGCAGGATTAGAAGAGCACAAAAATGAATTGGGAACATTCGCTTTTCTATACATAGCATTCTTTTTTTATGATTTCTATTCAATGCTAATGTACATAGCATTTGCACCTTTGGGACCTATATTTATGCTTCATGTATGTGGTCAGTTAGAACTTGTAAAGAACAGAGTATTAATGATCTATCATAATAATTCATTTGATAATGAGAAAGTTTTGAATAATTTGAAAGATGTTATAGTACATTTGCAGAAAATTTATAGGTAAGTTAAAGTAATTAAATGATTTTATTATTTTATTATAATTTTTATTTATATGTTTTTTGTTGTTTACAGTTTCGTAGACGGTTTAAAGTCAAGCTTAAAAGTATTGTACGAAATGACATTGAAAGCTACAATTTTAATACTTCCTATAACATTTTTTTTGGTAATACAGGTACGTATTACGTTTATTAATAAAATATTTATTCATTCCATTATATTTTTTTTAAGTTAATTTAAAACTTTTAATTTTTTAAAAGCATTAAAATATGTTACTAAAATAAATAGTGTGCAATTTAACATTAATTACTGTTACAGTCTTTTAAAAATGGTGAAGTTAGTTTGGAATTTATAACGATAATAATTGGGGCTATAACGTTAAGCGGCATTCCTTGCTACTATAGCGATTTATTAATGGAAACTGTAAGTATCTATCTAGTCCATCATGTACATTATCTCTTGTTTAGTTGTCTATTTTTCTACACAAATAATTATAAAAATTACATGTAAGGGAAGTCCTTTGCTCCTTACATACTGGTCTTTCTAGTTTTAGAATTTTTGTGTATAACAATAAAGATTTTTTCATTTCATTTCTCTAAACTAAACTAAAGATTCAGATATTATTTTCTTTTTTAACGCAATAATAAAATTAAAATCATAATTCTACCTATTTCCCTGATTGTTTTTTAAAGAACTTAATTAAAAAATTAGCGCCTCAGTCAACCTCAAAAAAAGATCACTAGATCCTCTTTGTATTATAGCTGTCACGTCATTTTTTATTTTATGTCATTTTATATGTATAAGTAGGTTTTATGTGTATTATGATTTAACATCAAAAGCTACGGATGTAGACTATCTCGTTGATTTGTGATTTTTCTAGGGCGAAAGTGTGCGTTTAGCTATCTACTCCTCTAAATGGGAAATGTACTGGGATAGACGAGTCCGTTCATTACTTCTCATAGCGCTAGTGAGGACAGAGAGACCCGTGGCCATTCGCTCTATGTTCAGACCATTGTGTCTTGATGCACTCACTGATGTGAGTTACATTTTACGTCTTACTAATATATACAAATGCGAATGTTTAGATGAATAGGTGTTTGAATGTATCTCCAAAGCGGCTGAACAGATGACATTCATAGAGAACATAGTCTGGAAGAACACATAGGCTACAAATTTTTTTTTTCATCAAGCGTGGGCGGAGTCGCGGACGACAGCTAGTTACTTTATATTACCTTGACGTACTTGTGGTAATTAAAATTAATTTTTATCTTTCATTTGCAGGTTTTTCATCAGTCATACGCGATATTTAACTTAATGAATGCTGCATGGAATTAAAAAAAATGCACTAGTAACGTAAATGTTATGTTGTACTTAATTTAATAAATAACATTATTTGCATTGCCCAGTAAAAAAAATAATACAATGAATTGTACTTTTATTAATAATGGAACGAAGGCAAATTTTTGCCTATATATTATATGTACACAATTATTATAATAAAATTGGAATGGAGTGTCTGAATGTAACATAATATTTCACGAATACGATGTATTTGTATGTTATGTCCTAGTACCTATGTTATGTCTAAAGCATCTCTTAACCTGTTTTCATGTCTGTTAATTGTTTAAAATTACATGTAAAAGAGAATACAAAGCTTCAGTACCTAATGAGGCGTTTGGTGTTCACTCGGCCGTTCTTTGATCATGGCGTAACAAAGGGGGAAATTTGGCGACAGTTGTTCATTCGGTTGACGTAGCATCACATTTAATTAACACTTAAATTTAATTTTAGCTTAAAATTATATAAACTTCGTAATAACTCTTCAAAATATTGTTGTTCCTTTTCCCTCGAGAACGAACGATGGCCTATGATATTGAATTGGTTATACATTTAAATAGTTAAGTAGATAAACTTATATAAGAAAGATATATAAGATGTAAACTAAAAGATTGCTGTCGCCCACGGCTTCGTCCGCGCGGAGTTGAAAACTTAATTAGTTGTCTATATGTTCATTCCAAACTGTGACACTAATTTCAGCGCGATCCATACAATCGTTCTGCAGATACCTTCTAACAAATTTCGTCCCTCCATACAAACATTCGATTTTTAATATTAGTAAGACAACCTGGTTAAAAACAGGATTGGAAAATCATTTTGTACTGATGTTTGGGAAGAGAAAAGCCACTCCAAGATTTGTTTAAAACTATTGGAAAGAACTTTTTCAGTCGATTCTAAATAGAGTAAACAGGGTAGGACAAATTTTGATCAGTAACAGAGAAGATGTGATAATAGTAATTGATTTTTTTTACTCATTTTCTTATGCATTAATTACTAGGTTATTTGAAGTGACCTATTAACAGTTTAATGTTCCACAATATAACACTACAGGCCATTTGGCAAGAAACGAGAATATAACACATTTAATAGCAAAGTAAAAATAAAAATTGCAAGATTGCCAGCGCCTTTGATTTATAATATACGATTCTTTATTTGTAGTTTTTTTATGAACGACTTTTTATTTCCTATTAAATAGTATTCATGATATCTGATACTAAATGTTCGATATTGTAACGATGTAGTTTTGAAATAACTGTTTTACGAAAAAATATAAGATGTTTTAAGTTAATCGATGACGTATTCTATACCAACTTAAGACTTACAGAATAATCAAATCATGGATAACATAAAACAATTACCTAGTGAACTTTGATGTGGTGACTTAAGTTTACGAGGAGGCGAAGGAAAACTATAAATAAACCTACTCAAAATATATTATAACATTTAACGTACTTGTTTATTTGCTAAATTAAAAATTATTTTGTTTCAACTGCAATTGTCGCTACAAATCCTAGCCATGGTAGAGAAACACGATTTTTTGGATTTCAATTCCAAATACCCGCAGTGTAACAGCCGTCGCTAAAAATTTTAACAGAAATGCTTTTTACATTTTCCAATTTATCCGTGTTATTTGAAAACATTTTCTATTTAAGTAGAAATTTTTGTAAAAAGTATTGTGCGATTTAGAACACGTTTGTCTGTTATAAAAATATTTAAAGTATTTTAGGATTTTCTTTTGCAATTTACTTCTCTCACTTCTGTACCCATACATCTACGAAAACATGATTCGCAGTTAAGGATAACTTACTTTGTCGTCGTATAATAGATCGTAAAAAAATTGTGGCGTTGTATCTGGCATGCGAGATTCACCGTACGCAATGTAAAGGATTATTAAGATATGGTCTAAAGAAAAAAATCTTATTTTAAACTATATTTTTGGTATCCCGGAATAAATTTTATTAATATTAAAATGCAATGACCGATAAGATACGAGAGTGAAATAAGAATTTAGGAACTCATGAAACTTTGACTATAAAAGTAATTTGCATAAGCAGAGGAACATCTGGCTCTTCTGAGTAATTTCGCTTTAAAGGAATACGTTGTAAAATTCTAAAAAGGAACTTTATCGGAAGAATAATGGTATCTAAAGTTTGTGCTTTTTTAAATGTTTTTAATACAGCAAATTGATTGAATATACAGATATACCTCAAAATATAAAAGAACGTTAAACAGAGTTAATTATAAGTAACTTTGGCGAAATAATTAAGTTTACTATGTTTACTTGTTCAATGTTCTTTGACAAAGTTTACTATTTAACTAGCAATCTTTGACATGCTTGGCAAATTAATTAAAACTTTGTCTTGTAACTGGCCGGCTGCAAAATGCTCCTAATGGGAAAAAATGTTGTAAATATCATACGGATTAAAAATTAAAATCAGATTTGTTTTATACTAGGAAAATGTACATTATGATAAAATATGTATAGTGGTCTTTAATGGCTTCGGAACTTAAAAAGATAAGCTATTATTAACTAAAGTGGCCACGGTTTTATAAAATATAAGTTGCGCCAACGTAGAAAAAATTGCATTGCTTGTTTGTCAATGTCTCAAGTTTTGTTATCGTCTTTTTGTGTAATTCTGTTATCGTACATGTTACATTTCAATTTCAAACGGTTACAAAAATATGACTTCATATTGCAGTTTGTGTTCTGTTCAATTTATTTATTCACCGCAAAAAGTTATCTGCATTGTTGTGAAATTAAGCAACGAAGCGTGATTTTATTATACTTCACTGTAATAGTAAAATTACACATTGCGTAGAAGTTCAATACATCTGTAAATTGCCTGTCAAGCCGGCTCCTTACGCTTAGCAAACAACAGCCAACAGCGAAAACCAAACAACAAACATGGACGTGTAGTAGGATAGCTTGTTTTTTTGGTGGTCACTGTTTGTGCTAGTATAATCGGCGTCGGTGTCAGTTTTTCTACACATATAAATGAATATTGAATAATGATCTTGCCAATCCGGAATAAACTAGCACATTCACCAAGCGTGGGGATACTTGTTTGTAATCCAGGTTTGGTACGTGTTTGATTACCATGGCTGTTTGTAGCAAACATCAAGCATGAGGAACCGGCTTGTTTTTAAAATTTTCTGTCGAATACGCATCGAATGACACTTCAGACTTAAAAATAAGTTGGTCGGTACAGGAAAGAACGATAGAAAAGACTTACAAATCCACACACATACTTATAATACCCGTGAAACATTGCTCAAACGTCATTGGGTAAAAAGAAATGGAAACGAGAATGTCCAAGAAAAAGAAATTAGAAGATTTTCCCGGCTCAGTTCATTTCCTTTAAGAAACTCTTGTCGGCAGAACCTTGTTATCTGTTAGAAACGAAGTTTTAGATAGATTTCCTTTCTTACGTTCCATTAATTTTACTAAAGCAAGAATATGCCTAGGTTTTATTGTCTTAAACATTAGACTTGTTTTAATGAATACTTAGCATTTTTGTTGGGTATAAAATGTGTAAATAATTTAAGTTTTTTTTAAACAAAATTTAAGTTTGTCACGCCGAAAAGTTTGCTGCCACTATATACATTAAAAATGTAGAAAGTTGCACTATTTTTTAAACTACAATTATTTAACTTCCTCGTAATCCATTTATGTACCTGACAAAGTGCGTTGTAAAACAATAAATTTAATTAATCATAATTTGATATTCCTAAAACGTTTTTGCGGCAACAATAAAATTTGCCAAAGAATACGTAGGAGATAGAGAAAAGTTCTCAATAAAAGAGATCTTAATGAGTTCTAGCAAACGAGGCGCGTGACTGAAATCGAAATATGTCTACCTTATTCCATAAACTCAAATACTGTCATAATTAATAAATTAATTATTAAGTTAAGTAGATTTACCAGAGTTGTTTAAATTGAGAAGATAAAAGACATGTAATTTAAATTTCTATTTACGAAGTCCATTTGCCCTAACCGTTAAATACCAGTTCGGTGTAAAATAAATTCTTGTATAAGCAAAAATCATAAATCAAATAGATTACATAAGATTGGGTCAGTGGAAATTTGTGATGATTCGAAAAGGATAGCGATAAAGAGTACGTGTTGGGATAAAATAAAACGTGACTGCGTTTACAAATAAAAATATTTTTATGTAAATATAGTTTACAGTACTTTGTAGTTGGCAGTAAAACTCCCTGTTGACTTTGATCACAGATATATTAAGTACTACAACTGAGTCTGAAAGCAAATATAGAAAACAGAGGTGGAATGATAAATTAACAGTTCAAAAAGGTGAACCTGTTTTATTATAATTAAGTTTGTAAAGCTTTGACTATAACTATTAAATTAAAACTGTTAACATTTACTGAAAATACTGTACGACAAAATGCAACATTAAAGAAACATAATAGGATTGAGCTAACCGAGCAAGGTTAGGGACTCGCAAACACTGTAATTGAGTTACTGCTAATGAATTTTGAGAGTCTACAGCCGGCATAATAATGTATAAGTAATTAAAACTCATTGTTGGGTTACTGGTACTGAATTTGTGAATACTATACTTTTTATACTTCTGGGAATACATGGAATAATCTAGAATCATTCCTGCCGCTTTCAGAGTCGTTATGATTATGAATTTTCACTTTGAGCCGTTTAAAGTCATAATAAAGAGTGCGCCAAAATTTAAATTATTCTCATTAGATTATTATTAGAATTTGTATGTCTACATTTTTTTAAGTAAGTAAATATATTTTTTACCATAACATTAAAAAATGGTCGGTTATGTAAAAATAAAAATATCAAAAAGTTGAAAAGAACTTGGGCTGATGTAGATTTCTTATCTGTGGTTCTTTACGAGGGCTCGCTCGCAAAGTACAAACATATTTTTGTTTTGAAGTCACATATTTGCTTCTGTTATCTGCAGACCACAAACCGAATTTGTTGTAAAAAAATATGGTATAATAATATTATAAAAGCAAACCAATGTAACATACCTGACATATGCTTGATTCGTGGATAGCCTCAAAAGACGAACACTTCTGGCGTCAAGGTATTCGAGCTCTACCAGAAAGATGGGAAAAAGTTGTGTCTAGCGATGGGCAATACTTTGAATGATTCATTTGTAACCATTTTTTAATAATAAAGTTATATTTTTAGCGAAAAAAAAGCGAGAACTTAGTTGCGCACCTAATAATTGTTACAGAATATGTTTATTACAATGCTAATGCTAATAATATTATAAATGTGAATGTTTAGATGGATGGATATAAGGATAAATGGACGGATGTATGGATGAATGGATGTTTATTAGAACGCAACGACTCAACGGATCTTTATGAAATTTGGCACAGATGTAGAACATGGTCTGAAAGACTACAGACCTACTATTTTTTTTATTCTGCGTGGGCGGAGTCGCGATATCTAGTTACATATAATCACAATCGCTACATATTGTTGATGATGTAAAGAGAAAACTTCAGAAACTTTCATTAATTCCAACCAGATTACAATTCTACAATGTAGTTTGCTATCTTCAAGTTTAATGGAAGCTGCAAACATATATATTTTTCTACTACACCCTGTTATATATGAGATATCATAACTTACTCTGACATATTTAATTACTTTTACCTAATGCATTTGCAAGAATTGTTCCTCATAAAATGACTCCTATTAAAACTTCTTTAATACTTTTATGGTTTAGTTCCTCCTCTACATTGTCTTTGGAATGTGTCACCGTGAACTTAGCAAATTGCATAGGAGGATCGGCAAGTCCTTAAGTTTTAAACTTCTATAAGAGCAGTTTAAAGCCATTTACAAACTATGTTAAATTACTCTCACAAAGTTTGTCCTTATTCGTCTCGAATTATCTTTAAACTGCTATAATAGGTGTTAAACAATTGTTTACTCACATACTATGTAGTTCCAGTCTTCAGATAAATTTCATGTTACGTCGTCTAAGTGAAGAACATAGAGAAAGCGGTTCGTGTGTGTTTGTTTTGTCCTACATATGTTAAACTTCGTATAATATATTTTCACTATTTATTTTTCCACTGTAATTTTTAATATAATTTAAATTTTATTTTTAGAGTAATTGTTAGAGTAATTGTGAACACAATTCACGTCAAACAAAACGCACACAATTTTATTTTTAATACAAACTATTTATTCTACCGTTTTACATGTTGTCAATTTAGTAACATTTATTTAATTTAGAATGAATACTGCCGTTTAATAATTATAATTTATAACTACCTTCCTAATATATTGCAACAAGTACAAAACATATTATGTGTTTTTTGCCGTCGTAGATACTTGTAAATTTATCCATTTTTAAATATTATTTTTAACTACATATTATTATATTTTTTTACAATAAAAGAAAAAAATGTGACGAAGGTAAAATTTTATTTTTTTTGAAGATGTGTTAATACTGTATTAAATGGGCATAAAATGGCGGCGGTAATCGCGGGTGATTTAATATCATCCGCAGGGATTACGTTGTCTATATCCAGAAAATCCTTCGTCAGAAAAAAAGATATTTTAAATCGTATTATCTAGACGTTTGGAACTGATAAATTTGATATCAATTGATTGATATAAGTATGTAAGTTTTACCAGAAGTATTCTTGTTAAAAAACTAATTTTACTTTTATGAAGTTTTTTTTTAAATATATTATAGTACTAGTATATCAAATAATACACTTACATCCAAAATAAAAGAAATATTCGATTACCTAAGAAACACTTTTTTCCGAATCTCTAGTACCTACGGAAAAACTACGCAATGATCGGAAATCGTTTTATGTTGGAAAGTCGACAGTTAAGTTAGGGGACTTTCCTAACAACTTTTGTTGTAACTTGAACCCAAATCAAAAGTTAGAGCTCGCAACTTCTACTAAAAATGTGCTTTCATTCTAATCCAATCATTAAAACGGTGTATTTACTTAATAATACTTAATTTCAATTAATTTTAAATGATTTGTAAATGTAATCAATACCAATGATAAAGACCTAAATGAAATAAATATAAAGTTAGAGATATAAAATTTCGTCACGACCCAATCTGCTTAGGGAGAGATATAATCAAGTAATTGTATTGTATTGTGATTTGGTCAGTCAGTCGGTAAATGTCGTTTTTTAACCTCGCCATTTCTTCCTGATTGTTTCCGAGATTCGTCAACATAATTATTAGGAAACTCTAGGGGACAGTTGTTTACTTCATCCCAGCTTGTTTACGTTTATTAATAAAAAAATGACTGTTGCCAAGGAAACAAAGAAATCGCAGTTTTTTGTATAAACTTCCGTAAATTGCAAATCTAAAAGTTGTTTTTTTTTTAAGCTATTTGAACGAGCACTTTCATAATATTGCTTACAAGTCGACTTACATAATGTTCAACTTTAGTAGCGACAAGAGAACAAGTTTCACCCAATTTGTCTTGAATTCGAAATATTTATTGAAAAGTTCAAAGTTCAATACTTTATTGGACGTCTCTGGACGGAAATCGTTTGTTACGACGACGTTAAAATGGAATCCAAAGTATTGTATTTGAAGAGACGATTTGTCACGTTAAGGATGTTTTATTGCAGTACATTTATGTGGAAATAAATGTATTTTTTTACATTTAAAATGCATTAATAAAAATCATAATAACTAATTTTTACTAATGACTTAAAAATCGTTGAGATCAACCAAAAATAATCGCTGGAATCGAACATAACAATTTTGATTTAGTCATTCATTTTTTAATAAAAAAAACAATATTTCTAAGTTCTGAATTAGGATATTCAAGTAAATTATATTATAAAAACGTAATACTTTGTAATAAAGTAAGAGACATTAATTATTCGCAAAGACTAGTTAGTTTTCCTTTGACTTTCATTCATTTGTATGCAAGTTGATTGGGCAATCTCTAAGCTGTCTAGAATTTCTAATTTCGCCTCAGCCACCTGTTTCAGAAAATACATTTGCATTTTATTTAATACGCTGAATGCAAAGCAATTAAATATATATTAATTTGTTTTAAGTTCTTCTCTTTATCTTGAGTTTACTGGATACTTAAATGAAGTAAAAACTGCAAGAAACAACTACAACTTTATTATGAAAAATCAGTTTTGATAGAGAAAATTTTAAAAGTTCAAATATCCAACTAATTTACTTTATTACTTCTATTTATAATAGTTAGTCTAGACTTAAATGTTTAGTTATCTTTATCTAGTTAATAATATTGCAAGGGTGCAATTGGTAATAATATTATGAAATACCAACTTTTAATATAATAGCTACAGAATATGAAATTTACAAAATTATATTATGACCACGCAGCATTCATAATATTGAATATGGTATAAGCTTGACGACACACCTGTAAATTAAAAAAAAATTGTTCATAAAGACCTAACAATTTACATACTAAGTTACTCAAAATGGACAAGCTTTTCTTTAGGAAAATATTGGACAATGATTTGTTATGTTTTGTCGTGAAAAATTAGTATCTTTTCAAAGTATTCTTTTAGACTAATAAATACTTTATCGAGCCAATATTCATGTCATAATGCTTAAAGAAGGAAAAGCTTAAATGAAAATCGCAATAGCGTAAGAGAATACTAACAGAAACAGATTTCTGATATAAATGAAATGAATGAACGGTACCTCAGCAAATGTTGCGAGGTTAACTGGGTGGAATATAGTTCTCATGCTAAGCGGTATGCCGCATCTTGCCAACATAAACAAGACGGTCCTCCTTATTTGAATATTCGGCTGATTCTCCCAACCGCACGAGTAAATTGCTTCTCGCCATTCGTTACTCTAAACCAAAGATAAAAACTATTATTAAATCTTTTTCTGTATTTTTTGTACATTTCAAATCTATTTCAGCAATAGAAACATATTCATGAAGTACATCGTTTGACTTTATAATCGTGGCTGTCGCCTGCGAATCCATCCGCGCGTGATTAAAAAAAAATTAACGAGTAGCCTATGTGTTCTTTCAGACTATGTTCTATATTTATGCCAAATTTCATCACGATGCGTTGACCCTTTCCGGTAATACCTTCAAACAAACATCAATCCATCCATCCATCTAAACATTCGCATTTATAATATTAGTAAGAAAGATGTATGTATTTTAAATTAGTGGTGGGCATACCTTATCCATCAGTAGGTTACTATAGTAGCACGGAATCAAAAAGAGAATTATATATGACCCAAAGAAACATGTGAATTCTATATTGAGCTCCAAATTTTTCAGTGACTGAAATAAAAAAGACTATATTTTACAAGGCTACTGGCATTTTGTGAACTTAAGTAGTTACCTGGCTGTACTAAGTAACTTAAATTAAAAAATAATAAATAATATAAATAATATGTAGTTCCAGTATATAATAATATACTACAAATGTTTTGCCTCGCAAGAAACAAGATTTAATAAACAGAAGAGGCATTTTAAGAAAAGATTAAATGTATTATGTCGTATATAGGTATATATGTATTGGTACATACTTGTAAGATTTGAAAAGCAGAGAATGGTAATAAAAATACTGTTGTTTTCATATTGAATTCAAATAATTCCCGAAAGTTTGATTGAACAGAATTATGGAAACTGTAAAGAAATAACATTATAACACGATTGTAAATGTATTTACGTTAATATAAAATACATTGTAAAAATATATTTCTCAGTGTGATCACTAAGATTTGAATATATCGAATCTTTGAATAAGTGTGATATTATTTTCCTTTACATTGTTTTACACGAGAAAAATGGTGTTATCTAATACTTGTGCAGTTAACAACAATAAATAACATACTAACATGTATATTGCTTGTAGTCTTTGGTTGATCTCTTTTAATTTTCCACAGATCACATTATGATCTGTAACTTCCACCATTACGTTCTTCATTCGCAAACTCAATATTTCAATTTGACCACAAACGTGCAATAGAAATATTGAAGCCAAGGGATCGAATCCCACATACACAGATGTTGCGTACATATCAAATATTAAACAATATAAAAATAAAAATAAATACATATAGAGATTTTCTTTGTGAGTTTCTATCGGGGATGGATAAGCCATATCATACATTGGCACTATTTTAAATTCACCACGAATAAGTGAACAGATCATAAAAAATAAAGCTTTTAAAGGAAACATAGCACCGGTAGTACATGCTGCAACTAACCAATAAAAACAAACATTCCTTCCCTTTTTTGAATATAGTTGAATTATTTGCTTCTCTTCTTCTGTGTAATTTTCAACTGCGGCATAATCTTTATCCATAATTTCAATATATTTTTTCATTGAATTTCCATTACGGAGCAGGACATAGTTTTTAAAACAAAGAGTCAAATATACAGTAGCTAGGCAGCCGTTTTTGATAGCTTCCGTATATTTCCCATCGCGAATATCATGACAAACAATTGAATTAATAAGAAAAATAAAAAACACAGTGGTAAGAATGACGACTAAAATAAATTTTGCAATCCATTTTTTATCGTGCTGTAAATTAGGATGGGCTCCATTAAAACGTAAAGCCCACGTTGATATTTTAAATTGATTTTCAAATTTTAACATCATAAAAAATAAGTGTTAAAGTGTTTCCTAAGAACAACAACGACGAACTGAGGGATCAACGACGAAGTGAACATTAAATAAGGGCATTAAATATAGTGCAATCAAGTCTCTGTGAATTACTTTATGTGTTTGACATTTAATGATAAGCTCAGTGATTTGCAATTTATAAAATGTTATGTACTATACTTAAAGACATGCATAAAATTATTATCTAAAGCTTGGGTTTCCATTACTGAAACATATGTAACAAATCACATTGTTGTCTCAACATTTTCAAAGAAAAAGAGAAAAATAACAATATAATGTTGTAAAAGTTTATTGCCAATGGAAACCTTCGTTAAAGTATCACTTTGCGCATCATCATTAGGCAGTGATGTTGATGGGTAGATACATAGATAAGTGACTTGTTACGAAACATAACTAAAGCTATGTTATTATCGAGTGATACGTTTTGACACTGATTATAGTTGACTCAAGGGTAGCTTATGACAAGTTAACAGTAATTTGTGAGAAAATAGTGCACTTGACAGTAAATGATAAGTCGATGTAATAACTAATTCCGTACAATCATACGAAAAGCTTCGAAATAGATAATTTTATCGTTACTAGTTAAAACTAATGTGTTGCTACCTCTGAAGATAGATTTTCTGCAGCATTTTTCTATTAACTTTTATGTTGAAAAAAAGCCACCAAGCAAGGACCCTCTCTTTAAGAAATTTAGTTTGTGTATAATTTAATAATAAGTAGAATAAAAAAAAGTAAAATTTTTATTTATATATAAATAAAAATGCCACTAATTCTACATCTAAATAAATCTTTAAATACTATAAAACTTGTCTAAAAGCTTGAACATTTCTTGTAACGTTTCAGCGTTAAATCAGACAAATCGCGGACCGAAAGGATTTGTGAGCACAATAACATTAAGACACTTTGTATGAGGAAAATAAAGACATTTACCAGCTTAAGTTATTTTGTAAGTAAATAGGACTTTAAAAGGAAATGATATTTGACTGCAGTAAAATCATAGTATTTTCACGATTTGAACTTTTTCTAAACCTATTAATTCATTACTTCTTTCCCTAACAACAATCTGTTTTTTTTTTATTTTATTTTTATTGATGTGATGTTTATTGCCGCATTCAATGTCGTTCAATAATCACTCAATTTTCGACGGATTTCCCGTACTAAATTTAGACTAACAATCGCACTTAAGACCATTAACAACTTCTGAGTGGAACAGAGCAAAAGTTAAATTTTAGCATATTAAATAGATTGTTCAGTCATGTTTTTAGTTTTTTTGTCTCAATATATGCCCATCAAAGGGTCTGCAAGACGCGAGTCCTTCGTGGCGATCACCTCTGAATTACTGTGTAATTACTAATCAACATTGATTATTGCTGCCAATTTCATGATATTACAAAATTAATTAAACAAACATTAGATCCGCCGACTATCGTTACCCAACAGAAGTTTGTCAGTAATTTAATAACTACACTCCCGTACGTCGTCTTCAATAACATTGTAGTTTATATTTCATTAGTTTGTTAACTTCGCAGCGTATACTATATTAAATTGAAACAATATATTATTATAATAAAGCATCAATATTGAATATATTATTAATATGATATGTGAGAATGTTTCATTAAGTATTTTAATTGTTTAGAATCTGCGCCATCACTTATTTAACATTAAAAAAATTACGCAAAAATATTTACTTATTTGTAACAAATTCTGAAATTATTGAATCTTTTCCATACATTTTTATTTTGTAAGATTTTTTATATTCTAACAAATTTCTGGTGCCAAATGCACTTTAAATAAATAACAAAAGTCATGAACTATTAAAATAGCATAATCTTCAGTTTATTTTTCGTAGTTTAAAGTTTTTATAATAATTTCGTAAAAGTGTTTTTAATTCATATCCTTAGAAAGATTTTGATTTGGTAAATATTGGATTTTGTTATCTCAAAGCAAGAGCTTTTGCCAGTTTTTTTTTTTTATAACAGAAGGGGGCAAACGAGCAGCGGGAACATCGAGGTGTCCAACGACGCCCTTGGACATCAGCAATACCAGAGGAACCGCAGATGCGTTGCCGGCCTTTGAGGTGGTGATAAGCTCGCTTCTTGAAGGACCCTAAGTCGTAGCAAAATGTTACGACAAAATTGCGCTAAAATTCTCACCTTGCCGACATAACACTTATCATATCAATATATCAATTGATATATTTTACGCAAAACTGGAGGCCAACGATAACCTGTTTTAAATAAATTTCCAATTTTCAACTGACTTTTATGTACCTGGTTATAAATAAAAATTGTTTTTTATTTTTATCTTACGTTATACTGTTGTTCCGATTTCATCAATTACAAAACAGTTCCATATTCATTTTATGGTTTATGAATATAAGTCTTTAGTAAATTACGTATATAATCCTGATCGTATCAATTGAAAAATAAAATTATATTAATAGTAAGCTGTTGGAAAATCATGTCGCAAATCAATAAAATGGGTCACAGTAACGAGACAGAAACACCATTTATGTCTAAATCGCGGAAACGGAAGGAGGAAAAAAACGTAATGCTCGGAAATCCTTTTATGTTCGAAAGCTTATGGTGAAGTTACAGAATTTGTAGAAGCCTGTAATCAAAATGTATCGCAATTTTAACAATATCTATAATAATTCCTATTTATATAACGACACAAAATGACGAATAGGTCAATATTTAGGTTATTTTTATTGCCAATTATATTCACGAAACATGAATTTATAAACAGTTGAAACCAAACGGTAATAATTATATTTGTATAGACGCTACAAACAGATTGCGGATTTTCTCACAAGAGTTTTCTTGTTACAGAGCATTTAAAGTAGATGTAAAGATTGCAGCTAATTGAAGTTACTAATCAAATTTAAATTGCGACACAGACATGTTGATTACAATCATTTACAACATACGTAATCAGAAATTCAAATGCAACACTTAAACCCGTACAGTACAGGGATGCGGTGGTGAACAAATGCCACGTGACACAATATTTTGGGTACATCTTCTTCTTCTTCTTCTAATGCCTCTCCATTACTGGAGGTTGGCCGTCAGCTCAACGAACACACACACATCACTGATCATAAATTTATTACACAATATGAAAAAAGTGTGAGTGTATACATAACATTTTATAAATTGCAAATCACTGAGCTTATCATATATATGAGACGCGAACGTAAGTGATGGTTTCCAATAATCAAAAAGTCAAAATTATTTAATAGCAAGTCATAAAACTTTTCGTTAGAAAAATGAAACATTATTAAGCAGGTAAAGGTTCGTTATTTAGCATATTTATGACTATATATAATGATGGTAATGTTTGGCAACATAACGAAAACTTACAAAGAAACAACAACAAGAAAATATATTTAACTAATTCATGATATGTGCAGAGCGGTTGCAAGTAGCGTAATTTACATATTCCTAGTTTACTAGAGGCTTACAAAGCCGTTTGAAACTCGACTAGCTCGCAGACTTCTCCAGCCCAATTTGCTTAAAGTCTAAACGACGTTTCGACGACGTTGGATATTTTAGCATTTTAGTAAATACAACCACGACTACTATGCTTCTAAACTAAATTGACAAAAAAAAATTATCTAAATGCCCCTTGACATTTAAATCAATTTTTATCAAAGTTCCATTAAAATACCAATGTACTCGATTGAATCACTTCTAAATCAAAATATTTGCCTCGACGTTAAAATTGAGATTCACTCCCGTGTATATGGCGGCTAATTTACAATTTTATATATAAAATTCTTGTGTCACAATTTTAGTTCCCATACTCCTCTATAATATATTTTTAGCTAGTTTGAATGTAATATAAAGCATAATAATATCAGCACTCTAGTGTTAGTAACCTGAATGGGTGTTTCCCGTTGGACAGATCGGACCACCGTTCAATCGGCCCGATGGGATCTTTTTCCCATTGGGCCGATAGAATTGAACATCCGCGTGAATTTACTCTATTATTGTCTATAAGTGTAGAGAATTTTTTAAAAGGTAGTATTAACACTTACTTTTTTTTACTCCCGATTATAATGAGATGTATATTTTTACAAATTGCCCTGTCTGCAACTAATAATAAGGGCGCTGTGTTTGGCACATTTCACTTTACGAGCCGCCGTTAAGTGTTACACTCGGTCGGGGTAAATTAATTTACTTTAGTGCCGTGAATAATAAAATTCTCATCTCTCTTTTCTAGCTTTGAACTTACTTAAATTAATTTAAGTCGATTTAAATATTCTGATGAATTTTTTTATACGCAAAATACGTACTAAACTTTGATTTTTTTCATTGTAAATTCCAAAATTATTGTATTATTTACAATATAACAGCAATAAAGGCTTATTTTATTTTATTTTATTTATTTTTATTTATGATCCTCATATCATCAATAAGTAGGCAACATATTAAAAACACATTGTTATAATCTGCTTCCATACAAATAGGAAGTACTTTTTGCAATAGCACATCTTAAAAGTTTTTATACATCAATTTATTTATTTTGTGTTTGTTTATTTGTGCTATGTAAAGAGTCTTATATGTAATGTATCTTTAAATAGACATAACTATGCATTACATTTGTAAGACTTCACAACATGGCCTTGTTACGCTTATTCTGATAAATTTTTATTGCAAAAAATAGTCAGACCGTTCAGAAAAAGAACTCAATACGGATCTTTTCACTTGTTGTAATTAGTCATTCTGTCAATAATGAACGATTTTGAAATAAGACGAGAAGATGTGAATATACTGTGAACATTTTCTAGTAATATTATAACTTAAGAAAACTGAAACATTAAGACATTTAACTTAAAGTATGTGTATGTGACTAATACTTTATGCTTAGCGTGTTTCCTCTCTGGTTTCAATTGCAATCCATATTATAAAAATGTACCAACTATCACGTTTTAACTACAATATATACATGTACTA